ACTTTCCCTCAGGACACAAGTCTTTTCAGTCTTTAAACACTTTCTGCCATTTCACCTCACACCAACACTAGGAACTGAGCAGCTAAGCAATCTTCTTCCTGAGTAAGAGGAAAGGTCATAAGCACTGTGTGTTTCTGATTTCCCCTGCCACTTCCCTGTCCCTCTTACAGCCTTCTTACTGCTCTTATAAAGTCCCAACACGAGTATTGCAGTAATGGTAACATACTCGCTTTCAGGTGATTCAGGCTTTGGGCCACCGCTGCAACAAGTCACACTCTAGAGTCCTCACAGGAAATCTAGAGGGGCGTGGGATCAATAGAGGTCAGGAAGTCAAGAGGCAAAGAGGCAAAGTTAGTTGCTAGTTATTAGTGGAGCCTGGTCTAAGCTGTTTTGTTTTGTTACCAGAGTGCAGAACCCTTGCCTTCCTATTGTGTTGGTTTCTCTGTATTGCTGTGGTCCTGATTTCCAAGTTTCACTGCATAATAGACATGACGTGGTGTTTATGTGAACACTTCTTGATGTAGCTTTCATCATTAAAACCCACCTCTCATTTCTCCGTGGATGTTTGAATCTCTGGCTCATGGGGGACACGGAGCTTTTCTGACACCCCCCACCCATGATGTTCCAGAAGAAGAACAGCATCATGAGTGGTGTGTCTGAGTCACACAAAGTCATTCCCCCAGGCAGTGTCATCCGACCTTGAGGGGTCCCCCTGGTGCCACTGTAGCAACAGATTTGTGATGGGGCGGTCACCCTGGTAGGGTTATCTTCTCCTTGACTCCATTTCCTACTCCTGTGGAGTTTCACTCAGTTAAAGAAGCATTCAAAGATGGGACCAAAGATAAGACCCTGTACTGTAACCCTGTAACCACAAAGCCCATTCTCTGGGGTCCCTCCAAAGGGGAGCTATCATTGTCTCCTTTTTATATAAATGCCAAATACTACAAATTTGATTCTGTGAAAAGAAATAGCAACCCAGAAGCACTTTGGTGAGATTTCAATAGCTTGAGAATTACAGATTATGCATATTTTATATTTATCATGTTAGCATTGTAGAGGCATAAATCTTATTTTTCAGTTCTGCATCAAAGGTAGACTCCTAATTGGTGAGGTGATCATGAGCGAGTTTGTCAGACTTGACTTCTGGAGTAAGGTCCGGAGTAAGGTCCGGAGTAAGGTTGTGGCTGTCTTATCCGTGCCAAGGAACTGAAGCCAAGGAAGTCCCTCTGGTTGCCCACATCTCTGGGCAGCCAGAGCCAGTGCTCAGGCAGACTGAGAGAGGGCGTTTCCTTCTCCATCCAGAATCTCGAAGAAGCCAGTTCTGGTCCTGCTGATGTGGAAAGGATCCCTGAGCCTCCTGGGGCAGGGAAGGGGAGCCTCCTTGGGAAACCTGCCCTCTCGCCCCAGCTGTTAGGGAAGCATCCAAGCCCATATAGCACCGCTGCCCACCCTCTGGTCTTGGATAGGCTTGTGCTTCTTCCCTGGATGCAGAGTGTGATGGTCCAGGTGACGGCAGGCATGGGAAAGGGGTCCCATGTCTGGGAAATAGTTTAAAAAATATGATGTGGGAAACAATTCAAAGTTTTTCACCATTATGCATATGTTATTGTTAATCCTCTTTTATAATTATTATATTATTCTTTGTCTCTCTGTCTCTCTCCCAGCCTCTGATAGCTTCCTTCCCTGAGATTCACACATGATCCCACCTCTTTAGAGTGATCAGCCATGACTCCCCCTCCCCTTCCCCCACTCTGCTCTTCTCTTCTCCCCCTTCTTTTCCCCCTCCCCTCCCCTCTCCTCTCCTCTCCTCTCCTCTCCTGTCCTGTCCTGTCCTGTCCTGTCCTGTCCTGTCCTCTCCTCTCCTCTCCTCTCCTCTCCTCTCCTCTCCTCTCCTCTCCTCTCCTGTCCTCTCTCCTCTCCTCTCATCCAGCTCCACCTCCCTCTCTATGCCCAGGGGAACGAGTTTATTCCTCTCTCGCCTCCCACTTACTGAGAGGGAGGCTGCCAAGGTCATGGGTGATCTGCACCTTGCCCAGCCTCTAGATACTCATTCTGTTTATCACATGCATTTTCAGATGACATAAACAAGAGATTTAATTTGGGAAAATTCAGAGTAAAGTCAACATCACCCCTAGTCCTATGCTCCCATAGAGCTGTGGTTAACGTTTGCACCTGTGTGTTGGGACTTCTGTGCCTGTATTCCATAAGTGTTGGACAGCTGCCTTTACTGAAGAACTGCCACAGGACAGTTCCTGAGCCACTTGGACCACAGCAAGTGGCAGGGGACCTCTCACTCATGTCTCAGGCGTAGTGGTTGAACCAAGGCTCTAAATCAGATCTACTCTGATTTCTCACTGCCTACTCTTCCTCTGCTCACCATAAAGCATAGTAATTTTTCCAGGTCACTAAAGCATCCCCCTCTGTCCCATCTTTTAATCCCTTCTGGCTGGAACAATCTCCTAACAATGGAAATGCAGGTATTTCCCAATTTTCCCTTTTACAAACAGCTCAGCAATGAAGGTCTTGGGGATGTAACTTTTTATGTGTTTCAGATTCTTTTATTTGGATTCTCCATCAGAGATTTACTGGGCCAGTGATGGTCTGTTATACGCCTTTCTATATTGCTGCTACATGGAGAGGCAGGAAGTAAAGCAGTTTCCCGCCCTGCCCCTCAGGTCAGGCAGGGTGTCACCTGCCACCTTCTCCTTGCCACCACACACCTTCACCTGAGAATCCATCTGGGTGTTTCATTACAAGAGAAGCTTGTAACAAACCCCTTTTTGTGTTAAGAATTTGTGTTCCCTCTTCCAGTGGATTTGGATTCTAGCCTTTTGACCACTTTTCAGTGGTATAGAATTTTGAATCTGGTAGTGATCTTTTGTCTCTGATTCTCACCACATTCCTCCCCAATTTGGTTTCCTCTCCTTTCCTACCCTCTGGTTTCTTCTCCTCCACCTTCACCCTTCCCAGTTCTCTCTCCTCTAGGGGCATTATGGGCTATTTGACCTTTCCTGAAGTTCCCCTGGGATCTCTGTCTGTCTTCTCTCTCTCTCTCTCTCTCTCTCTCTCTCTCTCTCTCTCTCTCTCTCTCTCTCTTTCTCTTTATCGCCTTTGAAAACTCTTCTAATCATTTTGCCTGGGTCTTGGGCTTTCTAGCTCTTCTTCTGAAGGCTCAGCTTCTTCCATACAAGAGCCTTAAACCCTGAAAGAATGCACTAGGAGATCAGAACACCTGCAGGGTCCCAATATCTTGTGAGATGTTGTCAAGAACTCCTGAAATCCTAATCAACTTGAGTAATCATCGGCCTCAGACTACTGAGAGTTCACTGAGCCTACAGAGGCTCTTCCGATGTCAGCACAGGGCTGCCCTCTTGAGACATGGCCTTCACACTTCTTCTTTGCTGGAAACGAGATTCAAAAGCAACAGTACACTTTTTCCTTAGCAGCAAAACAAGCAGTTTTTCATTGCAAGGCAAATGCAATCACTTCCTAACCATTGGTGCCCACTTAGGAGCAATTTGCTGTATGGGAATCATCATGGATACCTTGCAGGATTGATCTGCGGTTTTACAATAATGTATGTAAAGTACCAATTAATACTCTGATGGTCTCTTTGCAATGTGTGCTGGGGGAGAGAAGTAAAAGATGCACTCATGGTTTTAAACAGTCTGGGCTGTGCATTCTGAGCGGGCCTTAAGGAGTTGTTGAGGTTCTCTGTGCAGCAGGGTTCTGTGCTGTCCTGGGTTAGGTGGTAGGGGGCAGCGTGGAGGTAGTTTGCAAAGTGAAGGAGGATTTGCCAGGAGGCACTGCTTTATCACCCAGTCAGTGCCTATGTGATCTGCTTCATGCCAGGCCCTGGGAGTTTATGGTGAACCAGGTAGACAGGTTCCCAGCCTCAGTGAAGGAATGATCACTGCACAAGTCCTGACAATGTGTCACGGGGGTGGGGGCATGGTATGGGAACAGGTACCCAGAAGCCTGCCCCAGCGTCTACCTTAGAAAAGACAGGTAAGCTGGGAGCAGGAGAAAGGCAGGAATGATCAGGTAGAGAGAGGGGTGTGGGGAAGAGGGCTCCAGGGAGAGGAGGACTGCGGGGGTGGGGGGTAAGGCTGCACCCAAGGGCAGTGAGAGGGTCTTGTCAGGCAGCTGGGCCAGGGTGACAACTGCAGGTGGCCGGGCAAGGCCTGGAGGGGTAGGGAGAAGGGACTGTTCCTGGGTATGGCAGAGACTGAGAGGGAGGAGCATGGTCCCAGGAGGAGGAGTGCAGGGTGGTGTGGGTGTCAGGGCAGATGGCACTGTTGTTCTAGAAGGGTCCTGTTTGCCTACTCTGTAGACAAACTGAGGAGGCGTGGCTATCTGTGGGTGTGTTCTATCTGTGGCTTAGGATGTGGGTCTGGGTTAGGGTTTGGAGATAGAGGGGCAGGACCTCCTGAAGGTGCTGGGAGTATCCTGGAGTGGGCCCTAGACAGAGGAGGCTCACTAGTGCCATGCATGTGGCCTGTGCTGGAGCCCGAGAGGAGAGTGCCAGCGTCCCTGGGGCCTACTTGCTAACCACAGAGTTTCAGGGTGACCCAGAGCATGCTGATCTTTCAAGGCCCTTTTCCCTGTGGGCTTGATTGGGTCAGAGCCAGGATCCTCTGCCTGCCTGATGAGCAATGGTTCTTCCACATCGCTCAGGGCAGCAGCAGCTGTGCAGGCCCCAGGGTGTGGTGCTGGGGTGGCCAGGGCACAGTGTGTCCTCCAGAGCTCTCAGCTGTAATGAGCTAGCATCTCACTGCCACTCTGGGAGGTGGCACCAGGCTGAGGGATGGGGAAAATGCGCCAAAGGGCTGAACAGCTAGTCTTGGAGTGCACAGAGGAATTAGGAGCAGGGGTACAGTTACCTCAGTGGGGTGAGTGGACTGTGGGATGTCACATGTGGTGAGAGGAAGAGGGCAGAGGAATGGGCACTGGGGCCAAACTTTGAAGGGTCAGTCACACTTGTCCCCAAACCTCTGCAGGAAAGATGTCCTTCGAGGGAGCCCGGCTCAGCATGCGGAGCAGGAGGAACGGCACACTGGGCAGCACGCGGACACTGTACTCCAGCGTGTCCAGGAGCACGGATGTGTCCTACAGCGACAGTGTAAGTCCGCCTCACCCTGCCACATGGGGAAGCGCCCCTGTGGCAGTCTGGGTTTTGTGGTGAGCAATCTGCCTCCTGTAAAAGTTTAGACGAGCTCTCCGTGAGTCAAGTACTGTGTATTCTACAAGTTTTTTTTTTTTGTGTGTGTGGACCGTGAAAGCATTTTCATTTCTGAGTTGTTCTGCAAGCAGGTCTGTTTTAGGGTGGTAACTGTCAGTCGGATCAGTCACCGGGTAACAGTACCTCTGTTAATGGCTTTCAGGGAACTTTAATGTGTGTTTTGTGCCCGTTGCTCTTGCGCCCAGGCTCTCAGGTGGTGTGATTGGAATTAGTTCTTGTGGTTTCCTTCCTCATCAGACTTTTGGGACCCATCTGTCATTATTCTGAGCCAGTGTCCTTGTGGCCTTCAGCACTGGGACCTGCTCAGCCATGGCTGTTGGATGAGCTGAGCTGGGGCAATGGTCCCCCAAACTCACTGGCATTGCACGTGGTCCCCCACGCCACGGGTTTTCTGTGCTCTGAGGCCATGTCTTATGCTCTCAGTTGTCATAGTCCAGTCTGACACCCCAGTCCCTCTGAGTACACTGTGAAAGCCTGGACAGCAGCTATCTTTGTAAAGAAAGGGAGGGAGCAGGAACAGGCTATTGGTCATGTTAGTCGTGGATCCAACTGGTGAGTCCCAAGGGGGTTGACTTCGTGCCGTCATGGAGCAATAAGAAAAGTTACACAAACAAGCAAAAGCCTTCTGCTTCCTCCAGCTGGGGTCTGCCTCCCAGCAGTGGGACCTGCAAGGGAGGTACTCAGGGTGCAGAATCTAAGGGGGCACCTGCCCTGAGGTGCCACCCTGTACTTTCAGGTCTTCAGGACTGAGGACTTCTGTGGGCTTTAATCCCAAGTCTCGCCTGAGCGAGCCCTGGTACTCTGAGAAATACAGATGATGGTGGCTTCCCCAACATTTCCACCACATGCTTTCTGCTTTGACCCTGAGCCACGAAGCTCCCCTGAACCCCCAACCCCAGAGCCCACTCGGCCTCAGACATCCATGTTCCTGGATGATGGAGGAAGGTTCCTGCTTCCTCCTGCTGGGCCCTTGGCCCCCAAGTCATCCCCTCCTCTCTTCTCAGGTCACCCTCCTATGTGCAGGCACCTTGGCCCTCGGCCCTCCTAGACCCCCCAGGCTCCCCACCTCTGGGCTTCCACCTTGCCACAAGCACATGCAGGTCTGTAAAGTGCAACTCAGAGGGGATTTTTAACAAACAGGCAGTGGTCACCTTCTCTCTGAGACAATCACTGATTTCACAGCTCACTTGAGTCTTCTTAGTTCAACCTATGGAGGCTCAAGATTAATTATATGGTCACAAAAGATTAAGAAGCAAGATAGAATCCATGGATTGGCAAGGTTTCTGCATAGAGATCATCATAGGAACTATTTTTTTTCTAATTTTTTTTTGTGGAACAGACCTAGGAGAGGAAGTACAGACATAAGTTCCCAGCTGAAAGAATATTGTCCTGGATGAGCTGGTCCCCATTGCTAGCTTCAAAATAGAATGTCACAGAGCTTCAGGAGTCACCAGTTGCCCTGTTTCTTGGGACCCATCCCTCCTGTCAGTTGTCACAACTATTACCCTGAATTTTTGTCCTTTGTTCCCTGCTTTTATTTACAGTTTTAGCAGTATGTTGTTCAGCTTTGCCCATTTTTTAAATACACAGTATTGTGTGAGAAGTATCCTTCGGTGCATTCTTTATTTTTTAATGTAGTCAATATTATTATTATCATCATGATCATCATTACTGCAGTCCTGGGGTGAACCCAGGGTCTTCACACTGAGCTATATACCCTGCCCGATTCTTTATTTTATTATTTTGACACAGGGTCTTGCCACGTCTCTAAATTGACCAGGCTGGTCTCAAACTGATAATTCTCCTGCCTCAGCCTCTTGAGTAGCTAGGATGGTAGTCACGTGCCTCCTGCACTTGGCAGGCTTCTGTGTCTTTCCTCAGTGCTGTTTATGTGACTCACCTGTATTATCCCGTGTGTGAGCTGTCCACTCATCCCACTGCTGTGCCACCACCTTCCCAGCCTGGGGGAATGGTCACATGGGCTTCTGGCTTTTGCTTTAGGAGCGATGACATGGCAAACAATCTTGGGTGTGCAAGAAAACACAGTGCAGAAAATGCAGTCTGGGCCACCATGGACCAGGAGAGGCAAACATCACTCTTCGTGGGCCTGGCTTTACAGAATAGGATTGACAGGGAACTACTTCTAAAGTGTTAGAAAGAGAAGACCCCTGGTCTCCATTCTTATGTGTCTCTGGACTTTTCCTGGCAGGGGTTGGAGTGGTGACAGGACCCTGTGGACTTCACTCCACTGCATGGCTGGTGACAGCCCCTGGGGGTGCTGGGTCAGGGCTGCTCGGGAGGCCCCTGGGGATCGAGGAGGTCTGAGTACTGAGCTGTCTGCATGAGGAGGGTGACCTGGGATGAGAAGAGGGGATGACCAGGGAGCTGGGGCCCAGAGGAGGAAGCATCAGCCTTCATCCCTGAGGCCAGCTGTGCAGGTCATGGTCTGAGCACTCCAGCTGTTGGCATCTGGGGACCTGCAGGAGTGGGAGAGGGAGCCCCCTAGCACCCCCAGCTCACAGAAGACTCTTCCATTGCCAGGGATTCTGGGTGTGCAGATAGCTCCCGAGACGCCCTGCCTCTCTCTGCTTGAGGGGTTATTCTGTGGGGAAATGGCTTTAGTGCCATCGAGGACAGTTCTCCAGAGTGGCTGCACCTAGAGTGGGCACTAGATCCCTGGCCCTCCCTTCACCCCTGCTGGGTATTAACTGTCTTCAATGTTCAGCAAACTGATGGGTGTGAAATGGGATCTCACTGTGGCTTTTCCTCACTTTTGCTTTCTTGCTAATGAGGTTGATCTTCCTTCTGTGTGATTATGGGTTTTTCGTGTGTTCTTTTACTCAGTATCTGCTCCTGCCTTTTACTATTTTTCCCATTGGGTTATCTTATTCTTCATGATTTATAGTCCTTATAAACATTGCTCATCAACCATCTAATGATGAATACATGTATTAAATATCTCCCCTCACTTCGAAGAGTGTGGGCTTTGTCTATATTTTCATATATTTTCAAATAGCTCTCCTCTGCCAACTTAAGGGATTTTTTTCATGTGTGAAGGTTCTTGTTGACTGTCCGGACAGGCTTCCCAGTATGCCTGGCCACCTTGCCCATGGGGAAATATGTGCACTGATGGGGAACCAAGTAGAGGAGGAATGGAAATCTGCATTAATATTTTTTATGCTAAAGTATCACCCAATGCTTATGTTCATCCTGGTAGCTTTAGAGACAGAAACACAGTAATACGTGCACGCTACATTTATGTACAAGAAATCCTAAGTAACTTTTGAAAAAAAATCTGCATTTAGTTATATCATGATTTGTGCTCATTCATGTCAGCAGGCCGTGCGAATAAACTAGTAACACATTATCCAACGATGTTCTTTCTTTAAGGACTTGGTGAATTTTATCCAAGCAAATTTTAAGAAGCGAGAATGCGTCTTCTTTACCAAAGATTCCAAGGCCACGTAAGCTACTATTTCCCTCCATTTTTGCTTCCACGCCTATAAATAAGACACTCTTCAGGTCATCATTCAAGTTGTTTCTGCTTGTAACTCTCAGACACAGTGTGTGAGGGTGAAAGATTATAGATTTCGCGGCTGTTCTTGAGTTACCCCATCCCCTGTATATTTTTAGCTTTGACAATGCAGCTGTTGGTAAAGTCACTGAGAGTGGCAACACCCCTTTCAGTATTCCCTGGAGCCTGAGAGCCCACCACCCTGCTGGCCTTGACAGTGAATGCTGTTTGATTAAAGTTGCTAGGTAACATCATGCCCTCGCAAAGGCGTCAAGCTCTTTGGCACCTCTCCCAGGTGTGGTCCTCAGCCTTCCCTTCTACTATTGTGGGTCCCGTGTGTTTGGGGACAGCAAGACTGGGTTACAGGCGTGGCCTGATCAGCCCAACACACGGGAGATCCTGAGTAAAGGTGAATGAGCAAATGAGCGAATGGACGACTGGAGGGAAGCTGGCCATTCTTGGCAGAAGGTGTACTCGAGGGTAACTGAGTTAGTCCCCTGCTCCCCTCGGCCCCTTCTCTTTCACCTGCTGGTGATAGACGAGAGAGCGCAGGCATTGGCTGCCTGGCAGTTGCGGCTGTGGTTAGCAGTGAAGGATTTGTGTCCTCTTGAACAGAGGCAGCAGATGGCACAGCGACAGAAGAATGGGCAGGAGCTTTAGAATCAGCAGTGGCTCCAACACTGACTCCACTGTCTGCTCACTGTGTGACCTTGAGCCAGTTATTCTTTTCCTGAATTGAATTCTCTTAGCCTAAAAAACCAGCAAAGTGCACATCACGCGTTAAGCTAAGGAGTTAAGGATTCAGGAATTTAGCACATAGAATTCCTACCATCATGCCTTGGAGCTCACAAGGTTCTAAGTTGCTGTATTTTCTGATTTTAGGTGAATTAGAAAATGAATGATAGAAAAGCTAGGAGATGGCTGTTTTGTCATCAGTGTAAACTTATTCCTCATGAGTCGTCCTGACAGTATCAGCTCTGGGATTCAGCTGCTCATTCTGCAAATGTTTCACCAGAGGGTTTTGCTGTTCTGTTGATTTGGCTGGTAGACAATGTGGTTTGAAATCTTTTTATTCACTCAGCATATATTTTCTGAGCGTGTACTATGTTATAGGACTGAAAATCTTCTTGCAAAGAAGTTGTGAGTGTCATTTGATAAACCAGCCAGCAAGGTTATACCTTCTTTTTCTAGCTGCCTGTATTATAACTTTTCTATCTTTGGGGGACACTTTAGGTCTAAACAAAAACACTGCTTTGGATTCTAACTGTGAAACTTTCTTAGGCAGGCCAAATTGATTGACACTTTCCCAGTTACAAATGCCTTCTTGTTGTAAACCCAAATATCAAGTTCAGTCATCCATGTGTTGTAACCCTCTTTCTAGATTTCCTCACAATCCAAAAAGTTATATTTGTAATCCATTAAGACCTTATTGGAATTCTAGTAGGTTAATTCCAATCTACCACCACCAATGCAACCCATGGTGAGAGTAAAAACACCAAGACATGTTCCAAGTTAAGGGCAGCCAAGGGGTCCTAAGTCCAGTCCTCGTGAAAACATGCAGACAAAGGCCTTGATCCCAGACTTCTCCCAGAATTTATTATCTTGTGAAGAAGAGGGGTGGCTCAGGGATGAGTGATAGTGAGGATAGTGGATATTACTTGAGTAACTTGAGCTGGCTGGCCAGGTGCAAGATTGGCATCTCTGTAAATTGTAGAGATAAAGATACGCAGAAGGATCAATTTACATAATCCAATTAGGGTAGCAGTGGAATTGTTTTGGGGCAGCTATTGCTTCAGTTTCTGATATACAAACTCTTGTGACTTGGGGAGTCATAGTCTCTTATCTTGAGGCTGTACCCAGTTGACATTCCCCCCGAGCTATTTGTTCTAACACTCAGTCTAACACTCACAGATATGTACATCGTGGGGTAACACTACGGAGGAAACAGGACTGTCTGATGGCTATAGATTTTGCATATTAGTACCTCAGCTAGCTTTATTTGCAATGCTCACAGTCAATTGAAGAGAGAAGGAAATACCCTAGCCAGCCTTTTACACATCAGTATAAGGAAATGAGTCTCCTCAAAGTCACAGTAATTGTTTTGGATTCAAAGGGAGTCACTGGAGTTGTCTCCCACACCTCTCTCACTGGCTTAGGTAGACGTGGAGGTGTGTCGGGTGTGCCACCGGAGTCTTGTGGTTGAAAAGCACAGCCATATTCATGGTTCAGATGAAATTATCCAGGCTCTGTTTCTTTCCACCCACTGTTTCTGCCCTTCTAATAGTGAGCAGGCTCCTTACGCACAATGAATGAATGGTCTAGAAGGTTTGGCTTATGTGTTACCCACTTACCATTTTACCAGTTGGGGCAAAGGGCCTTGTTCTTAGCAATCCCACCAGAAGTCCTGGGCTCATGTTCATGGCTCTCACTGACCTGTCTTGGGGATTTTGTACCCATTGCTGAGTCCACATCTGGGGGTGAGAGGATCTATGGCTTGGCTAAGCTTGGGTGATGCGTCCTTACAGAATCCATGTCAAAAGTGATGTTTTCTCAAAGGAAAACTAGGGTGTACTTACCAGCAAGACAAGAAGTGGATGCAAACAAAGGAAACACATCAGTATTCTCTTGGTAGTGCCTGCTGACTCCCCAAGTCTGGGCCAAAGTGACAGGAGATGTGACAAGTAGCCATGGCTCTCAGCAATGGGAACAGAGGACAGGGACACTTTAAGGCTTTCTAGTTCCCATCTCAGAATGGAAGCAAGGTTGTCAGCCAGTGGTAAGACAGCTTTACATTTCCCTGTATTTATTCTTTTTATCTCTCTGTTGGTTCTGAGACTACTCTGTGGAATCTAAATTGCCCACCAGATAAGGGAATCAGCCAAAGTGATTGCTAATATCGACATCCCTCTTGCTGCTGCTTGTCACATGTACTAATATAAGCAACTGAGTCTCCTGTTAGAGACCTTGGGGTTGCCACACCTAAACTAAGCAGACGACTCTTCACTTCAACCTCTTGTGATGCTTATTTCTTGAGAGGTCACTGGAGGGTGATGGTAGACTATTGCTATGTTGGTGCCTTCTGAGATATGCTGTCAATCTAAGGGCTACCTCCTGGCACTCTTGAGCTGGTGATAATTCCCTGGATCTGGGCTTGTTCTTTTCCATTCTCACTCTCTTGGCTATGCCAGGTTGCAGGTAAAAGCAGGCAACAAGGACCTTGCTTCTGCACTCTCAGCCCTGTGCACTAGAACTTTCTCCCATGGTTCTATATCTGTGATGTCCAATATGGCAGCCATGAGTGGCTGCCCATCAACTTAAGCTCACTTAATTGAAATATAAAACAAAATAACTACATGTAGCTGGTGGCTACCATATTAGATAGTGTAGCTCCATAGCATCCAGAATTTCTGGCTTGAGTACTAGATGTAGGGCTGTGATGCTTCTCTCCTCCTCTCCAGCTCTTCTGTCTGTCACCCCTCATGGATTTCTCCTCTAAGCTGTGGGTGGAATGACTTTCTGGAAAACCCACTTCTCCATATATAAAACAACCTATGCAAACCAGTTCCTAGAGGGCTACCAGCCCATAAACCATAAAGATGGGCAGAGCCAGGTACCTCTCTTGATCAAGGTCACCTGAGATGCACCCCCTCCCCTTGGCAGAGAAAGGCTTAAAAATCTGTCTTCCTTTGAAGCAAGGATAAATAGAGCAGTAAATCCTCTCCCCTTCCTGCAATGAGATGGGGTGGGTGTGGACATGGCCCAGAGGACAGAGGGACAGTGGCAGTGATGGGGAGAGAAGAGGAGCTTTAGGAAGCAGCCTTGGGTCAGGGCTGGGGTTTAGAGAATGTGTGGAGGAGACTGTGGTCAATTCTATGTGACTTCTTTTACTCCCCTTTGGCCAAATTGAGTGATGCCCCTGGGAGCCACTCTAAATGGCGACAGGATGCTGGGGAAGAATGATTGTATATCTGGTCTCTCACTCGATATTTATAGTTCTGGAAAACATTGATTGTTTTGACAAATATTTGAAATAATGACTTCCATACTGTCTAGTAACTGAGACTTCCAGTTACAAAGAGCTTGTGTTAGTCAGCTTTCCAGCATTGGGGGTAAAAATGCCTAACACAAACAACTTAGAAAAGGAAGGATTTATTTTGGTTTCAGAAGCTTAGTCCATGGTCAGCTGGGTCCTAGCAGCAACATCAAGATGGCAGAATGTGGTAGAAGAAAGCTGATCACTTCATGGTAGCCCTGAAGAGCAGGAAGGCAGGAGCCAGGAGCGAGACACACCTGTACTTCCAAAGGCACATCACGTGCAGGGCTCCTTCTGCACCAAAATCATCCGGGATGCACGAGGACACAAACTACTTATAAGACCAATGTTTTCAATATAAACTACCAGAAGACCCATGAATGTATCAATCTCTCACTCATTCAGAGGATATTTGTAGAATACCCTTATGGGCCAGAAGCACTGGAACAGAGAATACAAGATAGCTTGGCAGGACACAACCCTAACCAGATTTCCTCATTTTATGAATCCTTATTTAGGGTTCCCTGTGTGGCTGTTGGGACTGTATACTCCACACAGATGCTGGAGGTGAAAAAGGGTTAAACTCCGTGATTGTCGTTGCAACCTGATGGTCCATTTTCCTTTGAGTTAGAGGCGGATGACCACATTCTTTATGGTAGAAACTAGGAAAGCAGTAAGAGTGACAGAGGCATGAATCTACGAGACATGGGTAACAGATATCACTCGGGACTATGTGGGGGCAAATCAGGACGTTCAGTCACCCTGTGGTGGCGGTGGTGGCCCTTCTTGCTTCACTGCTCCTTTGCTGTGTGCCTCTGCCTTGTTCCTGTGGTCAGATGTGTTTCATACTCTGTTATTACAAGCTCCCTTGGGAAAGCACTCTGACGAATTCCTAGCACTCTTCTGAATTTTGTCCAAAAATTGACTAGAAGGAAAGAGAAAGAGGAGGAGAGAGGCAGAGCAATGGTGAGACAGGCAGAAAGAAGCCAGGAGGAGGCTGAATTCTGTCTCTGTAGGGGAGCCTTGCTTGGGGCCAAACCAGAACTTTTTCATTGCTACTGTTCATCTCTTTGGAGATTCAGCTCGCAGGATGTTCCACAGCCCTACCCAGAGAGGGGTCAAGTTTCTAGACTTTCTGTTACTGTGTTTTTGCTTCCTTTTGGTTGCTCCCTCCTTTGTCATTTCTCACCTTGTACAGGGCATCACTGAAGCTAAAGGTCACCTTCACAGGGCAGGGCCCACGCCCCAGGCAAACATCTGCTTTGTTTCTGGTTCTCCCGGGAGGCTCTGTAGGAGAGGGACCTTGCCAGGATACAAGCAGCTGTTGTGCTTGTACCTCGATGCATGTGGCCAGGTTTGTTCATGGCCCCTTGCAAGAGCTCAAGAGCAACTTATCAAGGTTGCTTGGGATGGTGAGACCTCAGCTGGGATCTGACCCATAGTGGGTTTTGATCAGTATTTGTGGAATGATTACAGTATGTTTCTGAAGTAGGCATGGAAGAGGATTAACCCCTTACTGTGCATGTTTTTATTCTCTTCCAGTTTCCTGTCATGGGTATGTGTCATTTGACAGCCAATGGCTTTTAGTTTTGCTGCACTTTTGAGTGGTAGTGCTTATTGCAGTTTGTCCTCAAATTATTGAAAGACTCCCAAGCAGCTAATGTCCAGCATAGGAACTAAGGTCTCTGTAAACCTTGGACTATTTGGGGCTCCTGCTAGAGGACAACATCTCCCAGGGAGCACAGTCCATAGGAAGGAATGGCTCACACCAGTTTAGGACAGCACTGTTGTCCAGGAAGTTGCCCAGGTTGGCACTGAGGTCCGCCCCAGGACTCCTGTAGGTTATAAGCTGTGTGAGAAGCTGACGCTTCGCAGGTTTTTGTTTGTTTTCTGTTTTCTGGTTTGTTTGTTTTTTTCGACACAAGGTCTTGGTATGTAGTTCAGACTGGAATACCTGTAGTCACACTGGCCTCAAATTTCTGGCAGTCCTCTGCCTCAGCCCCCCAAGGACTGGGATTACAAGCAAGCACCACCACACCTGGCTCAGTTTCCAGATTTCAGAGACCCAGACCCATAAGCGCCTCATGAGTGCTTGCCCCGAAAAGCACTCAGGAGAGAGCAAGACTCTGACCTCCAGTCCTGGCTCCTAGAACAGGGCAATAAAAACCTGGAAGCATCAATATGCTGTAGTGTCTTTGCAACCAAGTGAGATGAGGAGGCTAAGGTGTGATGGGGTCTGCAGATAGGATGCAATTGGATGGCTTCTTTTCTGTGTGTTTAAACACACAATGCATGGCTTATTGCAAGAAGTGGCTTGAGCTCCTTAAGGAGATCCAATGAAATCTGTTCCTTTCCACCGATGCCGGGTGGCTCAGGGAAAACCTGTGCAAGTGTGGCTACGCCCGGAGCCAGCACATCGAAGGCACCCAGGTCAATGACAGTGACAAGTGGAACTACAAGAAGCACACCAAGGAGCTGCCCACGGATGCCTTCGGGGACATTCAGTTCGAGACGCTGGGGAAGAAAGGAAAGGTAAGGGGTAGTTTCCAGCCTCAGCCAGCACCTAAGCTGAGAGAGACTGTGGGCACTGTAGTGAGCTGGAACCAGCTAGAGGAGAGGTGGGCAGCCAACTACTTGAAGGGATGGCAGAAAAGGAGGAATTGTGTAAGTGTCAAATGGTGGTAACCAGGTTACACTTCCTGGGAAAACTCCCCAGGGTTGTCACAGAGCCACTGCAGGCAGCCACCGAACAGGCACTCATGGGGTCATGGCTACCCAAGACCCTGTGGTGGCCTGGGCTCCATCCTGTGTAATTGGGTAGATGGCATTTCTGAGAGTACATGTGGCCTCTTGCACAGTGACACTTCCCTCTGTACCATAGGTTTCTGGGGTTCACCGCAGGGGCTCCTCAGGGCTCCTTGTCTCACTGGGTTAGGCGCTGTCCACAGGCTGCCCAGGCTGGAAGCTGGGACACTGGCCCCTTAAGACCCTCAGCTCTGTCCTTGCAGCTGCCCAGCTGCATCCACTGCCTCGGGACCTGCCAGTGCCATCTCTGGTGCCCAGACTCTCAGGGCACCCACAGGAGCCCAGAATGGCACCCCACGGGCACATCTGTGGAACTGCAGGTAGAGGCCCATATCTCACCAGGCTTCTGGCACTTTTCTGGGGCACGTCCACTTCCTTCCAGTACAGTCACCCCATGGACTCACCTCCCACCTCCGGTGCTGCTGCAATTCGCTCCCCAGCCACCTCCCCATACAGCCCTGTAGCTCCCTCGGGAAGGGCTGGACAAAGGGTGGGGCGGGTGGGAGCCGGACACTACCTGGTTCTCTCCTTCCCCACAGTACATCCGTCTGTCCTGCGATACGGACGCGGAAATCCTCTACGAGCTGCTGACCCAGCACTGGCACCTAAAAACACCCAACCTGGTCATTTCCGTGACCGGGGGCGCCAAAAATTTTGCCCTGAAGCCGCGAATGCGCAAGATCTTCAGCAGGCTGATCTACATTGCGCAGTCCAAAGGTGCACGCCTGGGGGTGGGAGCATGGGGGGGGGGGCGAGCTCCCTCGGGATTTTTATTGTATCATTGACTTGTAGAATTTTACCCCGAATGCTCTGATGAATTTCGGCAGGAAACTTAATTTGCTGGGGTGGAGATAGGAACAGTGCTTGGCAAATTGTAAGCACTGTGCAAATGTCTGCTTCCCAAGGAAGCGCGTGGTTGTTTTGTGACTTGAGATATTTAGCTCAGCAGGTGTTTTTGTTTGTTTGTTTGGGGTCTTTTTTGCCTTTATTCCCCGAGTTCCTCAGCTTTTTTCTCCCAAGAGTGGGAACCACTGTTCTCTAACAAATGATCCATTGTATCATTACAATGTCCATTAAAGTAAAAATTCTTTGTTTCTCCTTTTGGCTCCAGATCTATGCAGCGTTTCCATGTCTTTCTGACCTCCTTATATCCGGCTCTGGTGTGCAGCCTTTCTGGGACCTTCATCAGAGTAGGAAGAGCCCATGCCAATAGCTTCCTAGATTTTCCTTCCACTCACTTCCACAGATGAAGAGCAGTTTACCTGAGCTTCGCCTTTGGAAATTTCTTTGGTGAAGATTAGTTGATTGAGGGAGCTAAGGAAATGTGTCTTATTTGAAATCCGAGGTTCCACTGCCTGCAAAGAGGAACCTGGGAATCTCATCTCCATTGGTTCTTCCCAATTTCCTGACCATCCAGAGGATCATTATGGGTTGTCATTTTGTTAAGAAATCGAGCACTTGAGCTTCCTTGCTACCAACTTCTGCAAACCATTCATTCATTCGACAAATACTTATTAGGTGCCTGCATTGTGCCCAGAGGTATTTTAGGTGCTAGCAATGTAGTAGACAAAATCAGACAAAAGTTACCAGCCTGAAAATATGCTCATTCTTACTTAGATGACAGGGGGTTGTCTTGCTCAGGGTGGAGAAGTGTTCTCTTGGGGGCACTGGCTCCTGAGAATTGGCTGCAGAGGTGAACCAGGTAAGTGCAGTGATTTTACAGTGTCTGAAGGACTTGGATGGGGCAGATAACTAAGTTTGTTCCTCACTGCTGGAGACAGCAATGGAATTAGACAGTGAGTGTAAGTGCTTTCCTACAACCACAACCGCAGGAAAGGCTGCCTCCCTACTGCTGAAGCTTCCCTCCCTAGGGCTGACCTGGAGAGGCCAGCCACTGCCCCTCGGTGGATCCCACATGGGCAGACATTTCCATTATGCTAGTAGGTTTCTGTTTTGCACCTGCGCTCACACATAGACACATACCCACTCACACGCAAAACCCTTGGCACTGAAAATGTCACTGAACGTAAATCTTCAGAAGACATGCAAAGTCATGGAATTATGGAGAAAGCAAAATCGCTGGTACCAGGGCCTTCCCTGGCTGAGCCACTCTGATCTGACTGCTGAGGACATGGTACCCGAAGGGCCCCTGCTTAGCTTCCTTAGAGGCCTGGGCCAGGAACTCCCTTCCCGTACAAGACTCCCCTAGAGATGGATTAGGGATTCAGGCTGGCTGAGCTCGCTCCGAGAGAGGCTGAGGTCCTTGTTGATCTAGATGGGGGCCAGAAACTTGTGTTTTCTGATGAGCACCTTGAGGAATCATGGGGGACTGGAAGTGTTCCTCCCCTCCCTGCCCATGCAGTGGCAGGCCAGGTTCGTTCCGTGGTGTGGCTACCACTGCTGTGGCCTGGCACTCATGGACATGAATGCTTCTCCAGGGGTCTGTAAGCACAGGATGGAAACCCTGCCCAGTGCCCGCTGAACATGTGTCCCTCACCCCTGTTGGCAGGTGCCTGGATTCTCACGGGAGGCACCCATTACGGCCTGATGAAGTACATCGGGGAGGTGGTGAGAGACAACACCATCAGCAGGAACTCTGAGGAGAACATTGTGGCCATCGGCATCGCGGCTTGGGGCATGGTCTCCAACCGGGACACCCTCGTCAGGACTTGTGAGGCTGAGGTATAGTGGAACAGGAAGGTCAGGTGGGAGAAAGACCAGGGCACAGGGCTGTGGCCTCAGGAAGCCTGCCATTCGAGGACAGGCTTCGGATCATGGGGATTAAAAACAGGCATGCTAGGTAAAGCACTCCAAGAAGATGTTAATATTAGATGCACTTTACTCGTTAAAATTGTTGAAGATAAACTGAGTGTGGTGGCATGTACCTGCAGTCCCAGCTTTCTAGGGGGCCAAAGCAGGACTGAAAATTCAAACTCAATTTGAGCAAATTATCAGTTTAGTGATACCTTGTCACAAAGCAAAGCAAAGCAAAGCAAAACATTAAGAATGAGCTGGCGATGCTGCTCAGTGCAAAGACCCTGGATTCAATCTCCAGTATAAGAGGAGAGGGGAAGGGGGGTGGAGAGAGAGAAGGATAGAAAATAAGAAATCTCACATTAGCAGTTAGGTCCTTTGTTCTTCATAACACAACCTGAATCCATGCCAAAAGACTCAGTATCTTTACTGCTGGGCTGCACCACAGGAGTTCAGATCACCTACTGTGCTCCCTAAGAGGCCTGTGAGAGCACTCTGCCCTGAGTTTCCTGGAAGTGAACTTAGGGAGTAACACCTAGGGCTTTGCATCAAGCTTGGAAGTTTCAGCAGGATCTCTGTGAACTGAGAGTACCCAGATGGTTGTATAACAATAAATCTTAAGATTTCTTGAGAGCTGCTATTTTTTATACAACTTTAATTTTCCAAAACTGATTCAAGAGGAACTAGAACATCCAAATAAAGGAATTATCACTGAAGGGGCTTAAATGGAAATGAGAAAATTATCTTCCAAATTGTTTTCAGTCGGATGGCTTAACCTAGCAAGTAAAAACAGTTATTTAGTACATGCTAACTTACAAAAAAAGTTTATAATCTTTACTTACATGCAGAAGTCTGGTATCTTTACAGATTTTCTCGCTAGCAAATTTGTGTTTTTCTAGAAAACCATGCAGAAGTATGTGTCATGATCATAGAAACTGTTCATACTACAGGTCCCGCAATCATACTTATAAAAACATTGCTGGAGAATTTCACATTTGAGTAAAGATGTTCATGGAAGCATCTCTGGTAACAGTCAAGTATTATCTGTTAATATTTATTATTACATAGGACAATCTTCAGGTAGGTTGCTATATAGACATGATATAAAATTATGGAGCTATGAAGATAATATTTCTAAAGATGTTCTGATGGTATTGGATATATAGTTTTAAGTATAAAATTATAGAAAAGACATATGTGGCTAGAAAAAAGCTAAATGTATGAAAATCTTGATGCCTCTCAGTGGATCATAGAATTATATACAATTTTAGTGTTCATCTTATTTTCTACATTTTTCAAACCTTTGTAATAGACATGTTGCTTGTAGAGACAGATTTTAATGCTAGTTTTTATTCTTTTTAAGCTTCTGTTAATTATAATCTTGAGTGACAGTGTAGCTTCGTAACGAATGTGTATGATCTTGTGGCTGGCTTCCCACTCTGCTTACTGTTTCTCTCTGCATAATGGCTTTTGGTCTCTTATATGAGTTGAAGCCCACTGTTTAGAAGAACTTGTGGCCATCTCCTCCTGTGTGGTTTCTACTCAAGGCTTCATTGTAAAGCACAGCCTTTGGGGATGGGTTGAAACGGAAACAGCTGGCAGGTGACATGCAACGATGCTGCACCTCACAAGTTCCGACAATTCACCCTGCTCTTCGGGGCTCTTCCAGAATATTCTTTCATCAGGTTTTTTTTTTTTAAATCAGTACTACACTTTAAATACCATCATGATGTCATTTATGCATTTACAGAGACAGCCCAGGTCTCTGTGTAGTTTTTGTTTTGCAAAATATGTTTGGCTGTTTGTCATCATGTTTCTTCCTCATCAATGTTATGAGACCTTTGTTAGGTACAGTCACCAAGACAGAACAAGCAGCAATGATAATAACACACATTCACTGAGTAAAATCATATTCAAACTGTAACTGATACCAAGAAAATTAAAACTATGACAATGTCACATCAATAAGATGCATGACATGGGTCCGCAGCTTGTGTGAGTCTGCACTGTCAGGACAGTTTTACAGTTTTTTTATTTTTGTAGATTCCACATCTTTCTTCTTAGAGATCTTATACTCTTCTTATTATAAATAAGGTATTGATTCAATGTAATTCTTGAGGCAATTTCTTCTGGTCTATATGAAAATATTGATTTGTTTGTTGTTGTTTTCAATCGGAAACTTACTATATTGTCTTCCTAGTTCAAACAGTTTTTCAGTATGTTCTTTGAGCACTCTAGGTTGGCAGCACTATCATTGTTAGGTAACTTCAGTTTTAAAACAGCTCTTTGATCTCATGGTACCCTGCAGTTTTTGCATATCTTCCCACACTGGCTGTAATGTCGAAGCAGCAGTAAGTAGCAGTTCTGATAGCAGATCCCCGGACAGGCAGCCAGCAAAACATGCGGCCCAGTTAGTGGGAATGGTTCCAATATTTCACTGATAAATGGGATCTGACTACAGGTTCAATATGCATGTACTTACAAAAGGGTCATGAGATACCAACTTTTTATTTCTAGTTGATAATTTTTTAAAGTCAAGAGTGAATGCTGAGTGTAAAAGTCTTTTACAGCTATGAAGCTGCTTTTTTTTTTTTCTTTTATCTATAACCTAATGGGCTGAGTCCAGGAAACAACACAAATGATTTTATCTTTTTTGTTGTGATTCAGGATATTGAACCCAAGGTCTCCACACTGACCTACATCCCCAGACTTCCTTTTTTCTGTCTTTCTTTCCTTCTTTCTTTCTTTCTTTATTCCTTTCTTCCTTCCTTCCCTTCCTCTCTCCTCTCCTCTCTGTCCTCTCCTATCCTTTCCTCTCCTTTCCTCTCCTTCCTTCCTTCTTTCCTTCTTTCCCTCTTTCCTGTCTATTTTGAGAAGCAGCTCATTAACTCTCTCAGACTGGACTTGAACTTTCCATCCTCCTGTCTGGCCTCTTACAGTGTTGGGATTATAGTCTGCGCACTCATTCAACTGCATGTGACTTCATTATCCTGCTACATTTGATTAGCCAATGATTTCTTAGTTGTTTGTGTCTTCATACATAAAGGAAAGAGTCTTTGGCTTTTCCCTTTGTTCCTTCCTGGTCAAGGCTTTGGGTTCAGGGTTGTGTGCTGGGAGGGTGTAATGGAAGTGGGAATTATTTGCTCTGTGGAAGTTTGAGGGTCTTCCTTCAAACACTGGCTGTGCTTTTCTTGCCAACATTGTCTCATTTGCCAGGCTCGGGCCCTCCTGCCTGATGCTGCTATGGGGCAGTAACTCTTAGAGGACAGAGCTGGAATGTTTGAACTGTCCTTCCTTTCCACTTTTGTATTGATTCTGTGTGTGTCATTAGCAGAACCAATAAAGTTTCCTCCCTTCCTTGAGTTTTCAACTCACATTCAGTGCTTTTAGTTAAAGTTGAAACATCTTTTAATGCAGCCCTGGGACTTTAAAGCTAAACAGCTTTGGAGAGGAACTTAAGAGTCAGGAACCCACACGTGAAGATTCTTTTCTTTAAATTCTTGCCCAGCCTTTGACCCCCTGCTCTTGCCAGGACAACTTATCTATTTAATTGTTTCTTTTTTTTTTTAATTGTTTCTTTTTATGGTCTTGTTACTGGGCATTTCTCAAGCACAAAGACTATGTTACTTATCTTCTAAAGTCTAGGTCTTAGTGTACGACAGATTCCAGACAAACATGTATCTTATCTACATATTCATATCTGTATATCTCAATGTCTATCTCTTCTTGTATGTCAGCCTCCCATACAGTGCACACACACACACACACACAATATATATATATATATATATATATATATATATATGTATACTTTTGAATGCTATCCATTTTAGTAAATTTATGCAAAAGAGCTCATGCCAGTAGACCACAGACTGGACTGAGAATCCAGCACTTAGACTGTTACCAGCCATACATGTGACCTTGGGCGAGCTGACCCAACCACCTGAACCTCTCCTTCTTTATATTTAAAAGAAAGCCTGTGGTATCAGCTCCTTAAGTCTCTTATGAACCTTGGAATCTGGGGTGAAGCACCTATATAGTTGAACCCAATGTTATTAGCTTTAACAGGATCACACAAATGCCTTCATGCATCGTGATCGACCAAGAGAATCTCAGAGGCAGGCTTCTCCATACTTTGCAGGAACATTTTTCGGCTCAGTACATTATGGATGACTTCACTAGAGACCCTCTGTACATCCTGGACAACAATCACACCCATCTGCTGCTTGTGGATAATGGATGTCACGGACACCCCACCATCGAAGCCAAGCTCCGGAACCAGCTGGAGAAGTACATCTCTGAGCGCACAAGTCCAGGTCAGTGTTTAGGAAGTAGGGTACTGGATATAGGTGCCCTGTAGTGGCAGTGCCAATAACACCTGCCGGTTGTTAAGTGATGCGTGATAAGCCATTCTGATTAGGTGTCCTTGTCATCAGTCTCCTTTCTTCACCTGAGAGTACTTCTGCCCAGGCCACTGTGACATGTACCCTCCCAGGTGCCAAAGGCTGTGACAGATGCTGTCTTATTCCAGCGCCATTTGTCAACAGAGTGGCTTCTCTTCTGCCAGACAGCACTTCAGAACAAATCAAATCAGTGATGGTAAACATGAGTTTAAGAAGCAATGCAATGAGCTAAGGTGGAAATGATGAAGAACAAAGCCACTAGTTAAACAACTGGGTGCTGAGATTTTTTTGGTGAATCTTGGCTATTTCTGTGGACTTGCGCGAAAGCCCATCTTTGATCTGATAATTGACATACACTCTCGCTTTCTGTGGAGCAGCTGTTGAGTTGCGTCCCACCGTGGAACCAAATTACCTTGTGATTTAGTTACAGATTTCATCTCAAGGACTTGTGGGAGATACTATTAATTATTTTCCTTTTGCAGTGAGGTATCCATGGAGAAAGACTTAGATATACTCTAAACTTCATTAGGAGAACACCTCATTATGCAAATTTTTTTATTTACTTGAGAAAGCATAGGATTATGCAAATGTGTGAAGCAATTATTACTCTAAGGATAAACTTGAAACTAGACACTCATTAGCAAAAGTAAATCAAGGGCAGTCTTCAGCATTTTAAATACCAGGGACGAATGGCCACCTGACCTGGGTCATGCTGTTACTAGTCTAGTGAACAAAGACTCTTCCACAGTAATCGAAGGTCACGTCCTTGAGCTGTCAGCTGTCACCTTGAGCCCTGAGCTCACAGAACAGAAGCCCCTGATGTATTTATTCCAGGAGGTAGGCAAGCATGGTCAAGGTCACGTCCTTGAGCTGTCAGCTGTCACCTTGAGCCCTGAGCTCACAGAACAGAAGCCCCTGATGTATTTATTCCAGGAGGTAGGCAAGTATGTCTATAGAGTACAAAATAAACTTTACTTTTTATATTTTACAGATTCCAACTATGGTGGCAAAATCCCCATTGTGTGTTTTGCTCAAGGCGGTGGAAGAGAAACTTTGAAAGTGAGTCCTGGCTTCATTTTTAAGCATATCCCTGAACAAGTTTACCCAGCAAATTCACATTTTCAGGGACTTGGGGTTCATCTGCTCTGTCCTGACTACTCTGTTTTATTAGAGCAAATAGGTAATGTCTCCATGCCCCTTCCTGTGTCCTTAACAGACTTGGATTGATTCTAAGCTGAGACTATCTGGGAGGAGGAATTGAAGTGACACAAACAGCCACTGTGTTCAGTGTCAGCTTTGACCGTCAGCTGGCCAAGGAGACGAGTGGACATTCACTCCTGAGAGTTAGCACAGTGCTCAGGGTGTGCAGTAGAAACTCTGGCCTCTCCACCTGCAGGGAAATGAGCTATCACACAGGCGGCCTCCATGTCGCTGTGTGCAGACTGCTTAAGCCCCATCTTCATGGCTTCCAGGGATACAGCGACCCTACACAAAGAGATCCTGAGCGCTGAGCAATTCTGGGAGTCTGGGCAGCCTCAAGGCTGATGCTGCCCTGGTGACACCGAGCAATTGAGCGAGAGCTCAGCCTCCCCACCCACGTTGTCAACTCTGATGTTCCTGAGTTCTTGCTGGCATCCAGCTTCTGTTTGTTTGTTTTTTTAAAAAAGATCCCCAGAGTGACTGCATCCTAACCTGTGTGGGAAGACCTATTTTCAATAGTTTGTTTTTGTAAGAAGTGGACCTTAGGAGAAAATAATGTGTGACCCCTATTTTTAATTAATACCCTTGTTGAGTTGCATATTCCCTTTTCCCGTCCTCTTTAACTCTAAGCCTTGGATGATGGAAGGAAAACCGCAATCCTTGGCTTTCCCTTTCTTCACCAGGGTGCATTCCTGGGGTTATGAGTACTGGCTCACAAAGTTGCTTAGAATCATGAGTGAGCATATCTCCTTGTTCATTCCTTTACACTGCATGAGGTTTCCCCAGTGACCTTATCATGGACTTTGTTCTTGGCATAGGATGCTGTATGACCAGCTTGCTTACCTTTCTCATCATAAGGCAATGGCAAACATTTGGTTTGCTTCTGATTCAACATCAGAGTCCCAAAGGAAGACATGCAAGGAAATGCTCATGTATTTAGGCCACTGACTTGGTTTAGAACCTCAGTCCTGAGCTGGGATCTGTTGATGACCAGTGTGTCTCGCATCTGTCCATCTCTCTCTCCGCTCTCCCAGGCCATCAACACCGCCGTCAAAAGTAAGATTCCTTGTGTGGTGGTGGAAGGCTCGGGGCAGATTGCTGATGTGATCGCCAGCCTGGTGGAGCTTGAGGATGCCTTGACTTCTTCTATGGTCAAGGAGAAGCTGGTACGCTTTCTACCCCGCACTGTGTCCCGGCTGCCTGAGGAAGAGACCGAAAGCTGGATCAAATGGGTGAGCTTTGGGGGAGACACTGAGGGGTCGAGGAAAAGGAAGCCAAGCTCGTGGGAAGGGGAGGGCGAAATACCTGATGTGGCACACCTGCGCATGTATCCAGCAGCTGTGGGTGTTCTGCACTTCCTCCATGATTCTGAGTCTACTCCAGCTCACTCCAGGTGTCTGACTAGCAGCTGACGCTCAGATAAGTTAAGTAATACTCCAAGTGTCCATTTCTCCTAAGGGCTGCCATGCTGGGCTTAATAAACTCCAGTTAGTTTGCAAGGCATGGGCTCTTTCTCTTATGCTATATGCCAGCAAATGTGCTTCTGGGCTTTGAGTCAGTGACAAAGGCAGCAATAAACCCTTATACATGAGGGCATTACGTTGAGTCTGCATCTACTGGAGAAACTGACGTCTGGATAATTGCCTTTGACATCCACTGGCCTATGCTTCAGTTCCGAATCTCTCATCTTTCATAGAGATCGTATAAGAAAAGGCAGACTTATTGGAATAGTTATGATGCTTCTCACTGCTTTACTTACAAAATACTTCAACATATTAGCACAAGACTTTCTAGCTTTCCTTCTTTTCATGACTGCTGTCCATCTGTAGTGATCTGCATTTTTCTGCCTGTTCACATCAGTAGAAAGCGCACATAAATGTTAGGACCATCTCCATCTGCCCCTTTGGGAATGGCCTCAGATGGTTGGATATTTTTAGATGCATGCGCTGCCACCTAGAACTTTTTCCTTAAAGGAAATATCAAGACTGCAAAGGTTATTTTCATCATAGAACCCCTTTCATCATAAGAATTGAAGGCTTAAATAATAATATTTTTTCAATGAGATTGGCATTCCAACAGTATTTAGTTCTATCTAGTCATCAAAAGGCTTTAAAATATCAAATGCAGAAAACCAAAAGCCCAGAATAAGGAAGGTCATTTCTTTGTGTTCATGATAGCCCTTGGCATGCTTTAAGGGAAAGCCTTATAAAACAAACAAACAAACAAACAAACAAGAAAAGTCTCCTCTGGGAAACCAAGACAGTATTGAAAATTTAAGCCCAGCTTGGAAAACTCAGTAACTTAGTGAGACCCTGTCTGAAAAGAAAAAGAAAGAAAGAAGAGAAAAAGGCTGGGAATTAGCGTGAAGACCTTGTGTTCAATCCCCAGTAGAGAAAACAAAACAAGTCATCTCAGCCTTCTCAGGTACCTGGCTACCTTCTCTTCTTACTCTCTGGTACCTGTAAGTAAGTTACATGAATTGGATCCATCATGGCCTCATTATGTGTCACAAGAAGTCCATTAGCCAAGAATCCTGATGGAGTAGAGGGGTCTGACTTACTTGGGAAGCAAGTCCTTTGTGGATCAAGCCTCACTGTTTGAAGTTTGAAGCTTGACAACACAGATGAACCTTCTCCCCGTGGTGGACTACTCCCGAGGTGCTGAGCCGTATTTGTGCTGAGAAATCTGCCTTTTTCAGATTTTACTAAAATTATAGTTTTCTGTGGAAGTTCTTACTGGGGTACTCTTGTGTCTTATCTGAGTCCAGCTGAGAGAAGGCTGTAAGAATGGGGGCAAATGGAGAGGAAAACAGCAGTTTTATGGAGGGTGAGGCAGTTGGTAGATGGGGCTTGGAGGTGCTCACCCTGCGTCTTCTTATGCTGAGTCCCCGAGTGTGGGGTGTGGGTGCGCCCAGCGCTGGCAGAACACAGTCAGTAGTCACCCTGAGTAAGTGGCAGGGCCGAGGGTAGCTGGGGACCCAGTTCTAAGGCTGCTCCTTCTGCATGGAAATATGTGGGCAAGAGATGAAAGGCTCCCTCTCCAAAGGACTTCCTTCGCATGTTTGAGACTGAACATTCATAGCTGGGTAGCTTGAGTCAGTTTCAGACATAACAACAGACACATCTCAAAGCTACATGTTGAGGGAAGGTGCTGTACGTTGATCCCATGATAGATGGAGGAAGTTCATTGGTCAGCACAAAGACACCAAAGCGAAAGGATGGACAACTGTCAGTTTATCCACCAAGGATGGTCCTGGGTCCATTCCGGGGGCTGTCCCCTTTCTCCTTGTGCAAGCTGTTCAGTGAGGTCTGGGCCATGTCATGTGCAAAGAACAGAGGCCACTTACGGGGTCCCTCACCTTTTATAATGAATTTTGATTTCTTCTTCAAAATAACGATTGCAGGCAGTCCATATTATACATGCTAAAAGTTAGACACTTTTTGTCTTCTGTGATTGTATTATTCTTTCTGGGATCTATGTCTAATTCATATTCATATCTAATTAAATATTGTATTTGTAATCATATTAATCTGAAGCATGTACTAAAAATAAACATTAGTCTAGCGTTTTAATTATGCACTCATATGGGAGTTTGCAATAGGTCCAGATTTCCAGAAGACCAAGCTCAAGAGGGGATTGTTAATTAAAGAATGGGTGCATTCAGTAAAATACTAAATAAACAACTTTCTAGGGTAGTTCTAGTGACTTCACTGATCATATGGATGACGATCAACCCCAGAACCTAAACTCTTGGTTTATTGATCCTCTAAGAAAGCTCTTGCCCTTCTTCCACTGGGACCACCCCTTCTTCCAACACCTCTGTCATAGCATTTCCCCCATTACCTACTCCTGAATTTCTCAAGAACTTGACTGTCCATGGTATCCTGATCCTCAGGCAATCTAGGTATCATCCATTTGTCCATTGTGACACCTTTACTCAGTTACCATTACTGAGCACTCACAGCGTGCTGGATTTTGGATTAGACACTGCGGAAGAGAATGGTGCCTGCAGCAGAAATGGTCTGTGTCCATGGTGAGGACAGACTTCCCATTCTCTCCTTCCGCTTCCCACAGTCTATGTTTTCTTGCACGTCTCACTTATTTCCCGAGTGCTCTGAATCCAGTCCTCTGTGGCCACCTTCCACAGAAAACAGAGGCTTAAAAACTCCCCTGCTCATCCCAAATCCCAGGGCCTTCGCTAGTTCACATCTCCCCTCTCCCCAGGCTCTGAGACTTCCGCTTCTGCTCAGGAGAGGTTGAAATTCCAGATCCTCAGATGTTGCTGGGAAACCCTACACTTCTTCCAACCCATCTACTTGAAGCCAGACTCCTCCTCCTCTGATGGCGTCCTCCCTCACCCAGCTCCCACCAAATGCACCGATTGTGGAGTTAGGGGCCCCTTTCATTTAGAAAAATGTTTAAGATTAAACATTACAAAAAAGTCCTCCAAGCTGAAAAAGCTAGTTGTGTATTTCTTTTCTCTGGTCACCAAGTCTTCTTGGTTCTTTTTTGCATTTGAACTTTTCCTTGTTGTGGTTTAAGCCTTTATGACCTTGCTTAGATAGTTGCTGTGGTCTTCTGCTTCCCTTTCTTCATTTAATCACTCATGTGACAACTGGACATCTGTGATGTCCCAGGCTTTCACACACACACACACACACACACACACACACACACACACACGCTCATCAAATGAGGCTCTCTGCTTTCTGATGTGGGCCTTTCCATGTTGTGTGCTCTGTATAACCTGTGCTTTATTGTCATTGTGGTCATGAACTCATGACTGCAGATTAATAATTGGAAGCTGTGAGATCCTGCATTGTTGATGAAGGAAAAAGAGCTGGGATTCCCCCAGAGATACTTTTCTAACAAGATGGGAGGAAACCTTTCCCACCCAAAGAGACCAGTCTATGATCTTCATGCTGAAAATCAATTGTCTGACAATTTTTTTTCTTTAAATGTTGTCAGCTCAAAGAAATTCTCGAATGTTCTCACCTGCTAACAGTGATTAAGATGGAAGAAGCTGGGGATGAAATTGTGAGCAACGCTATTTCCTACGCCCTATACAAAGGTGAGGGAAACAGCTCCTCAGAGCTTCAGCTTCGTGCGACTCCTTTACTTTTTGAACTTAGGTTTCTTTTCACAGCACAGTTAGTGACATGCAGGTTGAGTGTCCCTAATCCAAAAATCTTAAATCCAAACTGCTTGAAATATAAAACATTTTGAGTTTCCAGTTGACTCCACAAATGGAAAACTCCATAGCTTGAAACTTTGTTTCATGCAGATAATTATTAAGAATAACATATATTCAAGCTGAGTGTATAAAGTGTATGAGTGAGTGGACGGGCTCCAGGAAGTCTCACTATATCCACACAAGTATCCCGATGTCTGAAAGACTCAAATCTGAAACACTTTTGGTTCCAAATATTTCACATAAGGATACTCAACTTTGTCATCTTCCACTTAATTTTGATTATAATACTGGGAATATAGACTATTATTGCCTAGTGAGACGAATTTCACTAAATTTATGTATTTGACAGAATAACAATTATATCATGAAAATGCCGATCAAATGTGATCATGATAGTCTCCAGATAGCTGTTTATATTGGTTACAATAGTTTTTTTCAGTCTTTAGACTCCTTTTGGAACATTTTAAATACTTTGTCCTAGATTTACACACACACTCTCTCTCTCTCTCTTTGTCTCTCTCTCTGTCTCTCTCTCTGTCTCTCTGTCTCTCTCTCTCTCTCTCTCTCTCTCTCTCTCTCTCTCTCACACACACACACACACACACACACACACACATACACACACACTTTACGTTTTGCGTAAATAACTTTGCATTCAACTTCAAGGGCTTACACATCTGAAAAGGCCATGAATGAATGTCGGGTTAAATAGTCCTCCCCTTGGAAGTGAATCCAAATGGTGTTACCTGAAGTAAGCACATTCTTGGCAATGCACTGCACCACCTGATTAACACGGAGCACAGGAGTAGGGCTGGGCACAGCAGGAAGTGCGATTTAGTCATTAGCTATTTATTAGAATCATTCTTCTCCACCTTGCCAGAAACTTGGCTGTAAGAATATTTATTAAGTGGAATTATACTGTATTGAGTTATAGATATGGAAAATATTAGCTCTTGAAAAGGTGAGAAGAGCATCATCAGGCATGATCCTTGAAATATCACATTTAGGGAATCTGAATCTATGAAATGATATGAATACACCCTATTTCTTAGACGGTAAAGGTAGGCTGTGGACAGAGTGTAACCTTAGGGATCCTAACTGTCTACTTGAGGACGTGCAGAATATGGCTGGGTGGCAATCAGGTGAAGCGAGGGCTCTGGGCGTCTCTCATTTATAAACTCCTCCCTGCCTTCTTGCAGCCTTCAGCACTAATGAGCAAGACAAGGACAACTGGAACGGCCAGCTGAAGCTGCTGCTGGAGTGGAACCAGCTGGACCTCGCCAGCGACGAGATCTTTACCAACGACCGGCGCTGGGAGGTAAACACAACTGGGAAATTCTATACTCCGGACAAGGCTGTCCTTGTGGGCTGTCCAGGGTCAGGCCTCCATGGAGGGCTTGACCACAGCCACTCCATTCCAATGAGATCCTCCATCCTGGATGCCGTAAGGGGTTGTTCTGGTACATCAGGGTCGCCAGCCTCACTTTCCTTGTCTGTAGCATGGGATAAAAACATTGATACAGGAGGCTGCGTGTAAGAGGTAATAGAGATGGAGCCCTGAAATAAGGTAATATCCGCCCCTGCCAGTGTCATGCAGGGTTTCTAGCCTTGGACCCGTTATGCAAGGAGTGACTCTCTGAGGTGGAGCAGCACATCTGCTCTCAGTAGTATGGAGACCAAAGCATGGGGAAATAGGCACCAGATCATGGGAAGTGGTTGAAAGTAGCTTGAATAAAACTCAGGACAGCAGTTTCCTCCCGCATCCCTCCTTCCGTTCCTAGCTTGCTTCTTTACTTTCCTTTTTGATTTTTTTCTTTTTGGTGGTAAGGGGGATTGCACCCAGGCTCATCACACTGACTACATACCCGGCCCTTTTCAGGGTTTTTTTTTTGAGACAAAGGCTTGCTAAACAGTCAAATTTCCCCAGGCTGCATTTGAACTTGTGACCTTCCTGCTCCTCTTCTTCCTGCGGTGCTGGTAACCACAGGTGTGTGGCATCACCGTGCCCTACAGTGGCACTCTTTTTTGCTACACTTACCTAGTCAAATTCCAATAAGAGATTTATCACCAGTGATGTGTACAAGAGGGGACTGAAGATCCTCCGTGACTGTCACAGACCTGGGCACTATGGGCCATCCATAGTGCCTTCACTATGGAAGTTACACTTGTAGTAAAGACTGCTCTCCTCCAGGGGGCAGCCTGTCTCACTGGCTGGGGCAGTTAGTGTTTTAAGACCACATTTTCTGGTGAGTTCCTTGTGTACACCTAATGCTGTGTCACCCCAAGCAGTGTATTCGGTAAGAACAATTACAAACCACCGTGTGAGTCTGCAAGGGCTGCTTCTTTATTTCCAGCCATTGTGAACCAGTTGAAGTCATCGGTGAGTAGTGAGAAGGGACTTAATTTTATCCATATACGTGTAGATCTGAAGGTGCTTATTCCATCACTTGCATCTTTAGCAGCCAGATTCAGAAAACACCAAACAAGCCTACCATTGTTTAATCAGACTGAGACTTGATTTATATTAGCATCTGATCAATTTTAATGATAGCAGTGCAAATAAAGTAATGCCTCATAAATGTTTAAGTTATTCATTCCTTTAGTAAACATTATTCTGTATTTGGTCTTCGCAGTGTAATGAATCCTCTTATACATTCTAAGGCTTTTGTTAGTGGAGAGAGCAGAGCTGTAGATTAATAGATTGATTCCTAAATGAATCCATGTATGAAATGTTCCATTTAAGTAAAGTCAAATGGCATAAATAAACATAAACTCAGGCACAGTTTGAATTGCAGATTTAATTTGATTAACTCAGATAAAGATTGTTAAAGAGCCTAATGATTAAGAGTAGGCAGCCGGCGCCAGTCCATCTCCGTGACTCAGGGCAAGTACAGGCATTACTGAGAGTCAAATTATGCAATTTAGAATTAAATAATTTTATAAAAACAAAGACAAGAAATAACCAAGGCACATCATTCTGTAATTCTTTTACTGCATTTCCGGTTACCTGTGTCCTGGAGGTTATTTCAGACACCCATGTACCGGAAATACCACGTACTGGTGTGCTACCTGCTATTACCCCCCCCCCCAGTTCTCCATTCAAGATGTCACATGTGGAGCTGGCGATCGGCCATGGTGCAGGTATTTTCACCACGGGAATCAGCACACACTATAAGCCAGACCTGTATTTTCATTCAGGAGCTGGCTGCTAAGCATTTAGTAGCACCCAGAGGCTCATCCATCTGAAAATGAAGACAGAGCAGCGGTTCCTACCTCTCTGGGTCGTGACTGTGGTTAAATCAGATAACAATTAAGAGATTGCAGAGGGTTTAGAACACTGGCACTTACCGAGCATAGATAAACATTCACTGGAAAATAAATAAGTCTTTGCAAACTATGGTGATATTTGTGCAACCTTTTGCAGTGCATCAGACAATTTCTTTGTTAACTTGCTTGCCTGAGACACCAGCCCACGCACAGAGAATCTGGTTTCTTTTTGGTTACACACCTGAGCTGGAGGGAGGGCTCAGAAGGAGAAGCAGTGATGGTCTTGAGAGCCGGCTCTGAAGCTGACTCTCTCGAGGATCCTGAGCTGTGTTGTCCCCTGTCATCTTCCTTATCACCTGTTCCAGAGAAGGGAAACTGAGGCCTAGAGACACAGTCTTGTTTTGGCTGATATGGAGACCAAGGCTTGGAAATAACGAATGATGTGTCTGACCTCAGAGCCCTTCTCCTGTCTCATGTGCCTGTAGATCTCAGCAGGGTCCCTAGTGTCCCCTGGCATCCCCTGGGCACCTGTTGGCAGAGCACATTCTAGGCACTGCCTTGCACTGACTCAGTCAGAAAGCCTGAGGCTGACTCCCAGCATTCTATCCTGTAGGAAGTCCCCCAGGTTTGAGAACTGCTGCCCTGTCGCCTGTAGTGAGTGAGCAATGGAAAGGCAATGTGTTTAGAATGATGTGTGTAAGACCAGGGCGCGTGGGAACACTTGCCTTGAGGGCAGATGAGAAAGTGTTCCCCAGCGGAGCCTGTTCTCTCTGAGTCCAGGGAGGTCCACGCGGGGACGCAAAGGAAGCTTGCTGATTCCATCTCTAGGCAATCCCCACGAGATCAAACTTGGGCAGAAACGAAAACCATTAATGCTGCCCCTGGCAGAGGCTGCTCACCTAACCCAGACATCGCACAGGACACGAGAGTAAAGTGGACAGGCAGGTCACAGTGGAGAGCCTTGGGCACTACAGGGGTCAGAGAGCTGAGGGGCCTGGAAGCAGCTGCCACCTGGCACCGCTGATGGGCCCTGTGTCTTCAAAACTTTTGGTTTTGAAGACACAGGGCCCACTCTTAAGGCTGGATTTTAATGTTAAAAGTGTAAATTTTAAGGAATGTTTGAAGTTTTAAATGTTGGCAGTGGAATCAAATAATCAAAAATACTATGGAAGACACATAGGGCATAGCCCAGAGCTGGTGCGGCCTGTAGCCCACTTCGTTGAATATTTTAAGATTCTTGGGAAGCTCCTAACAGATGCACTTTACCAGTAGTCCAGAAAGTGGAGGTAATGGTACCAGTGATCGGGTCTGACTGTCTGTCACGTGTTCCAGGGATTTGCTGATATCTGCCTGGTGATTTTACACTGTGCAGGGAGTCTGAGGGGTCCCATTTTGACAACTTTATGTGAGAATTCAGTCATCTTATGGCAGGCTCATGGGCATGTGTGAAGAGTTACTGGCCTCCCCTCACCCTTGAACTGAGCACTTTCTCTACGCCGGATACTGGGTCAACTTCCTGACGCCCATCCCCTTTCCATGGGTCACTCATTTCCCCTTCACATGGGCAGAGCCCAGGTCACATCCGTGTCTTTATCTGGCTGAGTTCTGATTTCTCTACGCTGCCTCCCTATATCGATGCTGGAGCAAAAATCCAATGTTAAAACTGAAAAAAAACTTCATTCTCAAAATGAGATTGAAAGCGAAGTTGAAGATGTTCCTTTGTGGTTTAAAATAAGACGTGGCTGAGACAGAGAACCGCCTTGGGGTGCTTCTCTTTCCCACCCAAGGTGTGAGTGTTCTTTCCGCTCTTTCTCTTTAGTCTTCGGACCTTCAAGAAGTCATGTTTACGGCTCTCATAAAGGACAGGCCCAAGTTTGTCCGCCTCTTTCTGGAGAACGGCTTGAACCTGCAGAAGTTTCTCACGGATGACGTCCTCTCCGAACTCTTCTCCAACCACTTCAGCACCCTCGTGTACCGGAACTTGCAGATCGCCAAGAACTCCTATAATGACGCCCTTCTCACGTTCGTCTGGAAGCTGGTTGCAAACTTCCGAAGAAGCTTCTGGAAGGAAGAGAGAAGTAGCAGGGATGACCTGGATGTGGAAATTCATGTATGTAAGGGGAGAGCTGCCTTCTTTTTTGATTTTAATTTTATTTTCTTTTTGGTACTGGGGATTGAACTCATGACCTCACGCTCAGGCGGGTGCTTATGTTGCTGAGCTAAGTCTCTGGCCTGAGCACTGCCTTCTTGAGTCCTGTTATTTTGAGTGTTCCTCGAAAACCTTTCTCTACCTCATCTTTCCAACTCCCTACCTTACTGCCATAACGTAGACACGCTGACATTAATGATTCTTTTCTGTCGCTACTCAGGAGTACCTGGTGAGTTTCCTGATGTCTCTCTCTAGGTCCTATGCTACATTTCAAGCTAGTTGCAGTTTTCTGGGTTGCAAAGCGTGGTGTGGCACACTTCCCAAAGGCATTTGACAAGGGGGCAGGCTGAACAAATGGCTGCTCACTCGTCCTGGCCAACTGGATGTGGTCTGTGTTAGAGACTAGCTCTCTGCTCCCTGTATAAAGGGCTGAAGAATTTCTGGGTGCTCTTTTGTGAATAAGAGAGGTAGTGGAGGTTCCCAAAGGTATCCTTTTGAGAGGGTGTGTAGCTTACCACCCATGTTTCTTGGGTCTTCCATTTTAAACCCAGGAGTTGGTACGTGAACCCTCCAGCTTTTCCCCAAAGATGATAACTCCGGGCATGCGTTAGACACTGCCTCCAAGCGTTGCATGGTAGAGTTATCACTAGTTGCTTATGGTGGCAGCCTGTTTAATGATACTCTTTTTACTGATACCTCTCTTCTCTGGTCTCATTTCCTCCCTCTCCCACTGCTTTCTTCTGGAGTTACCTCCCAAGTAAAATAATTGCCCCAGATTCTTATCTCAGGATTGCTTCTGTTGAAATCCCAAAGTAGGTCATTATCTTTGGTAATTCTGGGATTTTCAGAGTGTGTTTTAAAAATCGGAGTGAGCTACCTGTGCGTAGGACCTGAAAGTGTTCAGAGAGTTCTGTTTGATGATACTTGTGCAACACAGAATTGTGTCTCCTGCATTTCAGATTTTGGTGAAAACTGAAAGGAATTAAAAGGAATCCGTACGCTTGTTTTTTTTTTTTTTTTTTTGTCTGAAAATGTTCCATTGGAAGATACGGAATCCTAATAGGAGATGGGATTCTAAATGATGTGCTAGGAATGAAGTCTGTGGATAGCGGTCCAGAGGGATGAGCATGTTTTTATGTTCTGATAATTGAATTTAAACCCCGGGAGAGTTAGAATTCACTGGGTTTTTTTTTCTAGATGAGAAACAGATTTAGATGATGAGAAGGAATGCTTTCTCTTTGGCCAGGCAGAAGCCATTCAGCTTTTAAATTGCTCCCAGTGTGCCTTTTCACCCTCTGTACCTTTCCATCTCATTGTACTTTGTCTTTTATGAAAGCTGATTTTGTGTCAAATTATACCTCCCGGTGAGCTGCAGGGATGAGAACCGCACCACCGTGCTCTTTAAAATGGACTCGTACACACAGCCACAGAGCTCTCCTGGATGCAGGGTCACAGGGTGCGGTCCTCGGCTTCCTCAACTCCATTTTCACTGTTAGAGTAGGGGTGCTAACATGATCGCTGTCTGCACATGGTGACTGCGTGCTCTGACCCCTCCCAGGACCCGTCTTCCATTACCCGGCACCCCCTGCAGGCGCTCTTCATCTGGGCCATTCTTCAGAACAAGAGGGAACTCTCCAAAGTCATCTGGGAACAGGTAAAAATTGAGGCTCAAGCGGCATGTCCACCAATGCATGCTTTGTCATAATCGCCCTGACTTGGACACTCACATGCCTCACCTAAGACCACCGTTCATCAAATGGAATGCCTGATACGGAGGAACTCCACCACACCTCAGCTTGCATGGGGATGGGGGTGTTTGGATGGGTGGTCTCTGCAGGGCAGCCATGTCTGGTGGGGGAGGGGCCTTCCAGTAGGCTCCTGCTTCTCAGATGTGTGTGGGTGCCTGTTTGTTTCCCAGGTGAGAAATGCAATTTTAAAAATTAACTTCTAGCTTTATTGCACTGTGGGCAGGAATTAGGGCCTGTAAAAATTCTGCATTGGAAAATGCTCTGAGAATTTTCTTTGGAGCTTAGTACATAACATTTTAATTTCTGGACTCTTACATTACCTTCTCCATTTTAAGAGCAAGAGAGTGGATGGTTTGAATTCAGACACATGCGCAGCCTTACTGGCTACACTGCTCAGGTCTCCGGTGGCTTTTCCCATTCTTCATCCTCCTGGAGCCGTGTCTGTTGCAGCATGATAATACTGTAATAGTGGCAGAGCCAGGCCTCCTGCTAGCAGAGTGTCACTCTCAGCTTCTCGGGACATTTCTCTTGACAGAGAGGGCGTGATTGAACAATATGGGCAATGTTGAAATTCTACAAATGTATCATGGTACCAGACACGGGGCCACGAACCCTCTCAATATAGTCCCCCTTGCTTCAAGCACACTTAGCTCCCTGTTCTGTCACCTTCTGAAGCAGTTCTGGAGGTGCTCTTTCCTGAGTGTCTTCACTAGGTGCAATTAAAGAGTCTGGTGAATGCTGCTGCTGGGGCCTCCAGGGGAAAAGCAGGCCTGTGCCGCTTCCACCTTATTCACTGGGTCTTGCGCCTTGTGACTTCTGGCTCAAAGGAGACACGAAAGGTAAAGCTTTTGAGTCAGTTCAGGACACTGAGGCAGCCACGACAGCGCAACTAAAGATATTTATGATGGTGAATTTCCAGCTACTTGAGAAAATGGCGAGAACGATAGGAGAAGTGTGTTTGAAGCTAGATGTTTTACAGGAGATTAATGATAATGTGTTCTGTACTGTAATAATTTTTAAAGATTAGACGTACATCATATTTTTAATCACATCTCATATTTTTTGTGCTAATTCCACATCTAAGACTCTGAGTGTATTTGGGATCAAGGCATTCCCCACTCAGGACTGTGAACGTCTTCGGGTTAAAGGTCATTTTGTTTTCATTACAAATTCTGCTCTGAAGCATTATGTGTAGTTGAGACTCTGTCACCTCCTGACCTGGCTGCGAGTTCCTCTTTGTCTATCATTAATCTTGACTCTGCTACTTCAAGGGATTCTGTGTTAACCTAAAATTCTCTAACCCTGACAACCCCCACCCCCCACAAAGACCCGGGGCTGTACACTGGCAGCCTTGGGGGCCAGCAAGCTCCTGAAGACTCTGGCCAAGGTGAAGAACGATATCAACGCTGCAGGCGAGTCCGACGAGCTGGCCAACGAGTACGAGACTCGCGCTGTGGGTGAGCATCAGGCAGGGACACACGGGCTGGGGGGCGGCAGGTGGCACTGACACCAGGGTGCTGAGGAGAGCCACGTGCTTGGGCGCCCCCTGCTGGCTGCAGGCTCATGTGACTAGTCCTTGTCCTCCACAGGCCTCTTGGACAGGAACTTGGGAGTCCTGGGCCATCTGATCCCAGGCTTAGGGTTAAGTAACTCAGCATCTCAGGGAGCTTCTGAGTGATTTTTTTTTTCATGTGATAGATCTGAGGTTTGATATGGCTTGCAAACCAACAAAGTAGGCTGCCCCAACTATTACCTATTTATCAGCTATCTATATGTTACTTATCACCTAGCTATCGACTATGCATCTGTCTATATGTATTACCTATCTCTCTATCTATCTATATCAGTCTATTACCTATTTCTCTACTATGCATCTATTACCTATCTACCTATCATCTATCTATTGTACATCTATCTATCTATTATTCATCTATCTATCTATCTATCTATCCATTTATCTATCATCTCTTTATCTCCAGAATATCTTAGACCTCTGGGTCTGTGACAGAGTCGGTTTATTACTAATGGCATACCCAGCGTGGAAGGGGCCAGAGGCAGCAATTAGCCTTCCTCTCCTGGGCATCTCTGGAAGGGGCCTCTTTGCTGTCTGATCTCTGATGAAAGCTGGCCAGCACCTTTCACCAAGGACCAGACCACCTGGGAATGTGAGAAGTTGCGGCAGTTTCCTCTCAGCTGTGGAGAGCTTTAGGCTTGCTTAGCTTTATTCTTTTCCTGTAGGTGGTTTTAAGCTTGCAGTGATATCTGTATTGTGTGCTGTCTACTGTCTCCCATCATGCTTAGCTTTATGTGTTGTATACAAGGTGTGCAATCATTTCTTTTACCAAATTAAAATTTCAAAGACAGCATTGCTTTCTGGGTGACCTCAGCTAGACTATGGTTCCTAATATTTTGACTTTTAAATACTTCCTATGAGTGTCTGCACTCTCGTCTCTTTCTCATTAGCCCTTGAAATGTAAGAACACCTGTCATACAACAGATCAGGGTTTGTTTCATCTTTTGGGTTGTCTTCATGCATTTTTGCCTGTGCAGATTTGTCTGCACTGAAATCTCACCGAGAAAGCACAGAAGAAACAAAGAATGGAAGTGGGGCCGCTCCTGCTAAGGGGTGGCAGAGGGTTTCGTGTTGTCATGAGGGCGCACGGCCTTCCTGCCTGCACCCAGACTGAAGACACTAAAGGGGAGCTCCCTGGGCTCAAGGCCGCTCAGTCCTGGGTCATCAGGAGCTCTGCTGGCTGCACTGTATCTACAGAAAATCTCCATCCAGGCAGCCACTGCTGCGGTGGCTTTCACTGAGCCTTTTCTAAGTGCAGATGCTCTTGGCTAAGCTGTCCTTGAAGTCAGGGTTTGGCTGGGGGTGGCACAGGCAGGCCAGCATCCATGAATTTGCCAGCTCAGAGCCAAGTCCTGCTCTCTGGTGGTGCCATAGAGCTGTTCACAGAGTGCTACAGCAGCGACGAAGACTTGGCGGAACAGCTGCTGGTCTACTCCTGTGAAGCCTGGGGCGGGAGCAACTGCTTAGAGCTAGCTGTGGAGGCCACAGACCAGCACTTCATCGCCCAGCCTGGAGTGCAGGTAAGGAATACCAGTCACCCAACCACATGCCAGAGATGGGCCATGACCTGGGATGCTTCTAACAGCACTAGAAAACAAAAACAAAACCACTAGAAACAAATCTTCCCCCAATAGGAAAGCCATGGCAGTGGTAGCGGAGAGACAGTATGTGAGATGCAGCATGCCAGGGCATTGATGGAGGGCCTTGCTTCAAGAGATGGCACAGGAGTGCTTTAGCCAGCTTTCTGTTTCTGTAACAAAATACCTGGGATATTCAACTTAGAGAAAAGGTATTTTGATTCACAATTCTGAAAATTTCAGTTCACGGTTTGTTGTCTGTGTTGCTTTTGGGTCTACGGTGAGTGTTCACGTCACATGGGCATGGCAGAAGAAGCTGCTTATCTCATGGCACTCAGGAAGCAAGAGGGGAAGAGGAGGGCCTGAGGTCCTCAAAGCCCTTTCAAGGACACGCCCCCAGTGACCTCACTTCCTTCCACAAGGCCCCACCTCTTAAAGGTTCCACTACCTCCCAATAGCACCAGCCATTGGTGATCAAGCCTTTAATATACTTTGAAGACATTAAAATCCAAACCATAGAAAGGACAAAGAATATTCTTTGAGTTTCTATAGAAGCAAACAGCACAGCATTGTTACTGTGAGCTGGTGTCTGTGTCTGGGAGGAGAGTATCACCCTTGTTACTGATGAGGACCCAGGGCTTAGGTAGGCACCACAGCATTGACCCTGATTGCACTGTGAGGGGCTAGCAAAGCTGGATCCAGTGCTGTGGGGCGGGGGGGCCTCACCGCTTCTCAGAATCTCCATGAAACCACACAGCTCCAGCAGTATGGTGCAGATGAGTGGGACTCTTACGCCACTATAAGCCAGTGGATTCAGCCAGAGTGGTGGCCTGCGACAAGGAGAGTGGAGGAGTCTTGCTCTTTGGCCTGGGGCAGGGGAGGGGCCTGGGATGATACCAACACCTTGTCCTGGCCATCCTGAGCCCAAACACAAGCTTCCTGATATTCCAGAGCATGGGATCCTGGGGCGGATGTTCCCCATCCTATTGATGTTCCCAAGCCTTGAAGTTCAGTCAGATGCTGTGTCACCACGGTCACTGGAAATGTCACCACCTGATCCATGGCACCCCTCGGTTGGACAGAGGAGTTTGTTTCTTGGAGTAGGTTGCTGTGTGGGGCCAGTGATTTTGGTGATAGTGGCACCCACCCCTGCACTGTTGCTGTCTCTGAAAGAGGCACCATGGGGGACGGGCTGCACTGCTGCCACCAACAGGAGTGTGAGGGGGAGCAGTCTGGACACTGCCTGTCTTTGCTGGCCTCCTCCTCATAATGGACCCCAAACCAAGGCAGGCGGTCTATTCTGGCGGTGACTGGAAGCACATGAACAGTGACACAGGGATGAGTGAGACGCAGATCCGGTGAGCCGGTGAGGAAGGCGTTGCTGTGGGCCACTGCAGCCCCCAGGATGCCCTCTGGAACCCGCAGGAGTGTTGCCATTCTGCAGATGTTTACCCCCAACTGCTCCTTGCTGTTTGCCAGGGACTGCCCCTCGGGAGCCAAGCGTACTTCACTCTGCCTGTGGGAGCAGCTCAGAGAGAGTGTGGCCTGGGAATCTCAGGGAAAGGGCAGGGCCCAGGGCTATGGCGGACCACAGTTCCAGCCCAGTTCCAGCCTTCCTGGGCCCTTCTGTGCCCGTCAAGCAGACACCCAGATCCCTTCCGTTTGTCAGGCTCTTTTTGAGCGCTCTGAGGTCCTTTTGCGGACGCCACTCTGGCCCCACTTTCCGGTGCTGCGGGGTGGGAGTAGGAGCTTTTTCATACCTTTCAGCTTGAAGGAGGATGTTGTCTCCCTTCCCAGTTTCCTGTTAGTTTCTTGACCAGAGCGCCCCCTGTCGGCCTCTGGGAAGCAATCCCCCAGGATACTGCAGACTGCACTGGTGGTACCCATTCAGGGCCGCAGGGAGAGTTGTTTGTTCAAACTTACACAGAATCAGGGATGGTTGGGAATGTGTGGATTTATTCACTTTGTGCTCACACAACCATCTCTTGTAAAGCTCACATTACCAGCTTAGAAAAAGACTTAAAGGTAAACATTTTAAAATTTGTTTTCTTAGAATCCAGTTAACTTATATGAAAGAGTAATGACATTTATAAGAGAACCGTGCATTTTGGGAGGGCCTGGGGGCTGGGAAGAAAGTATATATCCTTCATATAAATGCATGAATACGGACCTCTGCTCTTCACCTGTTCCCCTGCAGAATTTTCTTTCCAAGCAATGGTATGGAGAGATTTCCAGGGACACCAAGAACTGGAAGATTATCCTGTGTCTGTTTATCATCCCCCTGGTGGGCTGTGGCTTTGTGTCATTTAGGTACGCACCGAGCACATAGTCGTGTGGGCAAGTATGTGAGTGTGTATGTGTGTGTGTGTGTACATGAGTGCTCTCATGTAAACGCTTGCAAACCCTAGAGCCGAGGACATTCCCTGCAGTGTCAATGCACGTGGTCTGCCATCTCCCTTGGGTTTTCTGGCTTTGCCCTCACATAGGTAAATGTAAGGTCTTGCTTTTGGTATCCAAGGCAGACTCTGGCTTTGTGGATCACAAAGTGCCCAGGGTTGAAGTCTGTGTGGAAGAGTCAATCTCAGGATGCATTTGTCACCCAGCCTTTCTCCTGGCTGGGAACGGACTTCCCTGTTTGCTTGGAGGGCCGTGTCCCCGCGGCATGCGTGCGTGGATGTTGACGTGCCCTGGCCTCTCGGTGCAGGAAGAAGCCTGTCGACAAGCACAAGAAGCTGCTGTGGAACTACGTGGCCTTCTTCACCTCCCCCTTCGTGGTCTTCTCCTGGAACGTGGTCTTCTACATCGCCTTCCTCCTGCTGTTCGCCTACGTGCTGCTCATGGACTTCCACTCGGTCCCGCACACCCCCGAGCTGGTCCTCTACGCGCTGGTCTTTGTCCTGTTCTGTGATGAAGTAAGACAGGTAGGACGGTCACAAAACCAGCTGCCTCTCCGTGTGCTTGGTGGAGGACTGGAAGTTGCTTCTGAAATTCAGGTCACTGTTTTCCCGAGATAAGTGTGCTCCTGGTCGTTGGTCCATGAAGCTGACGGCCCATTTGCAGCTCTTAGTGATCCGGGGGATCTCTTAGCTCCAAGTGGCCTCCTGGGCTCTGCCGAATGCTCAGGGATGGAGGCGGATGAGGCAGGAATAGAAAGCGTTCAAGAGAGACCGCAAAGTCCTTGTCATCAGCCGAGCCATCTGCTTCCTGCCATTACCGTCCTGATAGGGGGCAGCAGGACAAGTGTCGGGGGAGCCGGGAGGACTCTCCAGCTAAGAGTGACAGTGTGTGCAAGCCATGCAATCCTCGCGGGCGTCAGGGGGCGCACGCCATTGGTCCATTGCGTTTCTCTGTGGTTTCCGGCAATCTGTGGGTTTTGGCTTCCCTGTCCCACTGTGGATCCAGTAACTGCAGAGAAAGTAAGTGTCAGTCGCATGAGACAGCGCTGTTCCTGAACCATTAGAAAAACTCACCCTGGAAAACGCCTGTGGGGTTAGTAATTTGTGCACATTTGACGACTATTGCTGGTACTTGTCCCTTCTGAGACTAAGACCCAGAACTGATCAATTCAGCAAGTGCGTCCTAGCTACTTAGCACTCACGGGGTCCTCATGGCTTGTGGAGTGCCAGGGTTGGTGCTAGAAGAGATTTGGAAGGGCAGAGAACACTGTTCTTGCACTTACAGAGTCCCCAGCCATCCAAGGACCCTAAGCTGGTTGCATATGGCGTGCCAGCTACAGTAGACCCTTTGGGGGATACGGTTTCCTGGGTTGAAGAAGATTCTGAGGCCCACTGGTTCTCAGCAGGACAGTGTCCTGATTGTTGTAGGGATGTCTGATGCTGGAAGCTGGAGGATGCTGGTGCCAGTGCCCTGTGCAGCCTTTTTGGGCCTAGTAGGTCATGCACAGGGAGGGGGCGAGATTTGGGGTGCAGAAGGAGGAAGAAGATGCTAAGCAACAGCAGCCAGAGTTAAACACGAGACTGCTGGGCTTCCTGCCCTGCAGCAGCTCTCCCCCAGGACAGAGTTGAGGTGCAGAGGGTTTTTGGGACCAGATCAGCATCATAAAGCCTCAGAAGCTGCTTCCTAAGGCCACACCTTCTGGGCCCTTCCTTGGGCTGCCTGAAGCAAACCTAGGGCCTGGCTGGCTTCACGCAAACATGCTTTGCCTGCGGTTCTGGACGGCAGAGTATGAGGTCAGGGTCCCCAGTGCCTTAAAGGGCACTGCCCTGGGCCCCCTTGGCCTGGTGGGTCCACTCCTGGGCTTGTGCATGCAGCATGCCAAGTTGGCACTTGTCTATACCATGCCCCGCCCCCCGTGTCACATCTTTGTCCTGATCTCTCTGGTCCTGTTGGATCAGGGACCCATTCCATGACTTCCTCTCCACTTAGTGACCTTGGTGATGGCCCAGGTTCCAAATAAAAGTCCCTTTCCGAGGTCCTGGGGGTGAGACTTTCAACCTGGACACCTTCCCCAGGGTCTGCCTCCCTCTGTGGGTGCCCGGCCCGGGCTGTCTTTCTGACTTTCCACCTAATTGGGTCTTTTTTACCATCTGCTCCCTCTCCTCCATGGATGCCTTCCTACCGCAGGAAGCTGTAGCAGAAGGAGAAGAGGTAGTTCCTGTGGGGCCCCGGCGGCCCTTTGACCCGCTGACCCTGACAGGGGTCCCTTGAGATTCCCCGGGTCCCAACCTGCACGCCACTCTGTCATTGAACAGGGTGGCATGGTGGGGGAGGGACTCAGTGCCAGCACTGGTTTCCTGTTCCCGTTTGACCTCAGGGCTGGCACAGAAGCTGGCATGCGTGGTCCATAGAGTAAGGAGTGCGGCGGGGTCTTCATAATCCACTCCAGAGCCGGTGCCGCCTGGGTAGCCATAGTAACAGCTCAGGGAACAGAACCGAGGAGAGGGAGGAAGAAGGGTTCCCTGGGTACCCAGAGTGCCCTTCCTTTGCGGGACGCCCCAAGTGCTTCTTTCTAGTTTTTATTCCTTTATCAGTGCGTGTTCGTAGTGCATCATGTTTGCCTTGCTTGTGTGGAGTGCATGCAGGGACCAGCCCATCCTAGTTCCTTATCCATCCCTGCCCTGGGCCTCCCTCTGCCTCTCCATCCCTTTCTGATCTGAGACAGAGCTGTCTCTGCTTCCTACTGTCTGCCTTTCACTTGGCTCTTTATTTATATTTTGGATTTCTCATAGAAGAGAAACCACACCATATTTAAGCTTGTGCGTCTGATTGATTTCACAGTATGGTCCCAAAGTGCATGTGTCCAGTTTTTTCTTCATGGCAGAGTAGTGCTCCTTTTTGTGTGAGTACATTTTCTTTATCCATTCATTGCTGACGGACATAGAGGCTGCTTTCAAGATTTGGTTACTAGGACTTCATTTAATATGTTGTCTTTAACTCTTTCAAGAAGATACGTGGAAGGGGAGCAGTTGGGTCAGATGGAATTTCTAGGTTTAGTTTTCTGATGACTCCCACAGGGGCTGTTCCAGATCGCGTTCCACCAGCAATGCAGACGCGTTCCCTTCCCCTGCAGTCTCTCCAGTGTTCCTCGTTTGTCATTACGTGACTTCTCAGTGATAGCCGTTCTTCCTGGAGTGAGAGAGGATCTCAGTGTTGTTTAATTTGCATTTCCCTGATGACCAGAGACACTGAACCTTTCTTCGTGTATTTATTGGCTATTTTACTTCTGAGAAGTGTCTGTTTATTTCAGTTGTTGCTCTTTTGATTGAGTCTTTTATTTGGGGGGATCAAAAATTTCAGTTCTTTGTATAGTCTACATATTAGTCCTATATTTGAGGAATAGCTAGAAAAAAATTTCACCCATTCTGTGGGTTCTCTCCTCAGTCTCTTGGTTATTTCTTTCACTGTGAGATTTCTGCTTTTTAACTAGATAGGATCCCATTTGTTGATTCTTGGAATTATTTCCTGGGCCATTGAGGTTCTGTTCAGAAAGTCCTTGCCTGTGTCTATGTTTTTAAGAGTTTCACCTATTTTATCTTCCAGCAGGTAAAGTGTTTCAATTTTAATATTTAAATTTTTGAACCATTTAGTGAGATATATTGGTCTTTATTGCAGCTTTCTGCTATTTTCACAGCACACTTATTAAAGAGGCTGTCTTTCCTCCACTGTATGTGTTTGGCACCTTTGTCAAAGACCAAAGATCCTTTGTACCTGGCTTTGTTTATTCCATTAATTTATATATCTGCTTTGGTGTAAGTGCCATGCTGTTTTCATCACTGTAGCTTTGCAGTATAATTTGAAAGCTAGGATTGCGATGCCTTCTGCTTTGCTCTTGGTACCTGGGATTACTTTTGCTATTCTGTGTCTCTTCTGGTTCAACGTGAACTTTAGGACTGTTTTCCACAGTCCTAGGAGAGATGCTGTTGGTATTTTGAGTGGGGTTACATTAAATCTGCACATCAGTTTTGGAAGTGGTGCCATTTTAGAAATTCCAGAGTCCTCCCCCTGCTTCTCCCCACTGTTCTGCCTCCCACAAGGCATCCCCAGGTCCCCCCACCCTGCACCCTGCCTCTGTGGTGTAAAGGCACAGCACACTCAAGGACATTTGCTCCTCCGGGCCTCTACATAAGCCACAAAGCTGAGAAAGAGGGGTTACTCTGGGCGGCTTTGGAAGACACCTGGCCTGGTGGAAGAAGATTCGAGACCTATGCTGGCCTAAGCCAGAGACTCTCCATCCCTTCTTTCTTTCAGAAAATATTTGTTGACTGCCTACCATGCACCAGGCACTGCTGTAGACCCCAGTCAGAGAGGGGGCCAGGGTCGTTTCTGAGTGTTTACCAGCGGAGAGATGAGCAAACTTCCACCCAAGGGGAGTTTTAGGATCGCTGGGAGGTGGGGTTCAGAGGACTGAGGGTAAGTCACCACAAACAGCCCTGAGGTCAGCCATGTGGGTCTTGTAGGAGTTTGGCTTGGAGGTTGCGCTCAGGCAGGACACAGGGCAGGGGCACTGATTGGTTGGGAGCAGATAATGGTCAGGACGATGGGGAGAAGGAAACTCGGCCTGATTGGAGGGCGGGCCAGCCCTGTGCTTGGCGTCTACAGGGGGTTAGGCCAGGCCCCTGCTCACTGACTGCCTCACAGATCTGCGCCTGTGACTTGTCGTTCCAGGACCTGGCACGCGGGGTCGCTGTTTCCCTTTGTCTGTGCCCCTTGGCCGGGTTTCCGGGCAGAGACGGTACCGCTGCAGTAATGCACCAGGTTCTCTCTGAGGGAGGGAGGGGACAGCTCCTGGCAGCTGCCGCCAGCTTTCGAGGGTGTCTGGGACCCCAAACGCTGAGCTCAGCAGTGTCCGCGACGTCCCTGACCCGGACAGACCCCGGGTGCTAACCCGGGGTTTTTAACCCCAGGGGTCAGGAGCATGATCCAGGTGAGCTTCGCCCTGCAGCCACCAGCTCCTCGCAGCCTTGGGGTCCCCTGCATCCCTCTGAAAGACGCGCCTGGCCTTTGTGAACAGACTGGCCTGCTGCCCAGAGAAGAAGCCTTGTTTCATTTTTAAAAAAAGTTTTCTCTCCACAGTATCATCCTGGAGCCCCAGAGCTGACCCACCCAAAGCGTCGCCTTGTCACCCAGGGCAGGTTTCTGGCACTCACTGTGTCATTTTATTTTATTATTATTAGTGTTTTGTTTTGAGACAAGGTCTCACTAAATTGCCCACGCTGGGTACCAATGGCGATCCTCCTGCCTCAGCCTCCCCAGACGTTGAGATTACAGGCGTGCACACCGTGCCTAGAGAAGTTGCCTGTATGTCCTAACTCCTTGCACCCAAGCTTTTGGCGTCTCTGGGGGTCTGGAAGCGACCGGAGATGCTGCAGGGCTGTGAGGGCACAGGCCGGGCAGGGCGAATACCTTAGCCTCACGTGACCGTGACGACCGTGACGTCAGAGGTGCTGCAGGGAACAAGGGACCCGAACCTGCAGACTCACTCGGGCGGGACACTTCCTGCCCAGAAAGCCAAGTGCTGCACTTCCTGTGGTGACGCTTTGCCGCTGGTGGCCTGCTGCACACGGGGGAACCCGCGGCTTCCCTTTTAGGGCTGTGTGGGGCTCCCCTCTTAGGGCTGGGCCTTGCCTGTTCGCGCCTGCTTTTAAACACATCTGCCATCTGCCTTCCCATGGGCCCGCAGGCCCCCTGGTGGTGACCAGCAGCTCCTGAGCCTGTTTAAGTGTCCCAGAGTTTGGCCAGGGCATTTGGGGTCCCATGGTCTCTCAGGAAACACATTTTGAACGGATGGACAAATGACAGGGTCAGACAGCCACCCTGGAGTCCCTGCTAGAGGGACAGTCACGGATCATCCTTTCTCTTTGGCGAGTGCAATTTTTTAAAAAAGTTTCATTCCTCAAGAGGTTTTACTTCCATATACCAAAAACCTCACAATAAATCCTCCAATCGGTGCAGGCGCCAGTCTGCTTAACTTCCTCTAGAATTGTGCAGTCCACAGCCTACAGCACGTCACATGGCAGCCCTGGTATTTCCCGCGTGCTCTCACAGATTGTAATTCAAGGGGTTCATTCTGAAAGGGCTTGAGGATACCTAAGTTGTTTTTCTTGACTTTCCCAGAAAAACAGGGAAGACAGAAGAGCTGTAGTTCACCCTGCTTTCCAGTCCTCTGGAAATGGCTTAGAGCTGTGGCCCATCCTTGGCTCCAAAAGGACCTGGAAAAAAAATGGATGGATTTAAGAATCGAATGTGGGGGCTGGGGATTTAGCTCAGCGGTGTAAACACCTGCCTTGCAAGCAGGCAGTCGTGAGTTCGAACCCCGGTATCGATTAAAAAAAAAAAAAAAAAAAAAAAAAAAAGAATCGGATGTGTCTGTGCTGCTGACATCCTTCCTGTCCCCTTGTGTCCCGCAGTGGTATATGAACGGGGTGAATTACTTCACCGACCTGTGGAACGTTATGGACACGCTGGGTCTCTTTTACTTCATAGCGGGAATTGTATTCCGGTGAGTGATTCACATTGCTTTCTCCAACCTCAGGCACCTTGGTCACAAGTGTGCAAAACCCTTTGGACCTCTGAAGCCCTGGGAAGTGTGTTGCTCTGTTTCCCTGGAGAGATTGTTAGCATCGGACTTCCTAGAGGGACAGTTTGGTGGCATCCAACTGTGTCCCGGCTCTTCCCCCCACCGTGTCTGTCATAAAAAGGGGTCCTTATGATTTTTCTCTCCATTCTTAGAGGTTTTTGGGAGGAGATGAGGAGGATATTTCATATCTTAGCGTATCAGTTTGTTGAGGGCCACATAGGTGATTTTGACTCATATGCTGACCATGGGACCTGCCCTTCTGGTGACCACCATGTATCCTCAGTTTTAGTGCCTGAGTCTGAGGTTAAACAAGCAAATCCAAAATCACCCTTGAAGGCAGTATACAAGGTGCATTCCCTGTGACAGAGGTCAGCATACGCCCAAGCCTTGGTTCACCGTACCTGTGCCTCTACACACTGTAGAGGTTTAATTTTTTCCAGTGCTGGGGATTAAACCCAGGAGCCCACTTAGGTACTTTTCTTGTGGCTGAGATGAACTACTTAGCACTCAAAGTTAAAGGTGGAAAGGTTTATTTAGCTCACAGTTTGTAGAGGTTTTGTCCTTCATCACCTGGCTCCAAGGCAGGGAAACAGTTCATGGCAGGCAGAAGACAGCAAAGCAAGCAAGGGCCTTACAGGGTCTTTCTGTGCCTCTTACACTCTAGCGAGGCTCCTGGGATTAGAGCAGAGCCACACTTATCCATTAGCTGACCAGCAACAGCACACTTACTCCCAGGCCCCTTAATCCTGGCACTGTACCATGCATGAGTTGGGCATACTCCAGACCCAGCCACCTCTACAAAAGCCCCACTTATGCCTGCATGAGGCTTTGGGAGGAAATCAAGACGCCAGCTGTGAGACTCATACATGCTAGACAGGTGCAGTACCTCTGCCCGCGCCCTCAGCAGTGGCACGGCACATGGCTTTGGGATCAGAGTAGCGGCACCACCTGAGTAATCATGCAGCACAGCTCTGCAGCCAACTATTCTTGCAAAGTATGGAGAACCCTTTCCCATCCCCTTTGTGGCCCAGGAGGATTTGTATTTGTGATCCCATGGAGAAGTTACTGGAATTCTAGCAAGTTAATGTTAATCTACCACTTTCAGTACAAGCCATGGTAAGAAGAAGGACATATATACAGTCGTGGGGAGCTGAGGGGTCCTCAATCCAGCCAAGATGGTGTTCACTGGAACAAAGGCCACGACCCAGAGCCCAGCCCGGGTTTTATTAATTTTCTGTGAGGACAGTGGCTCCAGGATGAATGACAGTGAGAGTGGTGGGAAATATGTGATTGCTCTGAGCCAAGCTAGGTTGGAGGTCTGAGGTCACCTCAGCCATATGCAGAGGGCAAGAAATGCAGAGTAATTTGCATAACACAGCCGAGGTGGTGTCTAATAATCTGTGGTCGGTGCTTCAGCTCTGATGCTCAATCCTGTTTGCCCTGGGAAGTCACAGCCTCTTTCTCAAGGCTCGGTCCCAGCTGACAGTGTGGAGCATTGCTCTCCATCCTGCCTAGCTCAGCCATGTATTTGGTGAGTAATTGGGCAGGGTAACACTGACCTGTCACCTTGCTTCAGAGATGACATATCAGCTCCTCAGCCAGGCCAGTTACACTGCTTAAAGACACCTGAAGGGACAAAGAAATAGCCTGGCCTGCTCTGTACATATCAGTACATGGGAACAGGGCCAGGATTATCCACAGTGGAAAGAACTGCTCTTCTTGTCCAGGAGAGTCGTCTGCGTGGCTCCCCTCCAAGTCGGAGGGACTCAGAGCTCTTATCTTCCCCCAGCGATCTCCCTCGATGTTTGGGCTAAGTGTCCTGGCATTTGAATCCTAGCTGATTTCTACATCACTCTGGAAAGCATTCATGGCTTTCCGTGGACGCAGCAGCAGGTGATTAGCTCATCGTGGGATCTGGTGAGAAGGAGCTGCAGGGTCAGGTCCTTTGGAGCTTGGTGCCAGCTGGGGTCAGCATCACTGTCAAAGCTTGTGACCCAGGAAATGGCCGAGACTGCAGCTGTGGTTCCCACAGGAGCATGAGGACCAGGGCCTGGGGAGGATGGAACTCGGGAGCCTGGCTTTGTGCTGCCCCCTTCCTTTCCTCTTCTCTGGGGGCCCATGAGGGAGAGACAGTGGCCACAAGCCTCACATCTGGCCCCTTTCCACTTGCTCAGCCTCCTGGAGTTTGGTCTTTGCCTGAGGTTTTATTTTGAAAAATCAGACTTTGAAATGTTTTGGTCAGCATCTCACGGATTCCTCTCCTCTCTCCATAGGCTCCACTCTGCTAACAAAAGCTCTTTGTACTGTGGACGGGTCATTTTCTGCCTGGATTACATCATATTCACTCTGAGGCTGATCCACATTTTCACTGTGAGCAGAAATTTAGGACCCAAGATTATAATGCTGCAGAGGATGGTAAGAATCAAGACCCTGTGATCACTGTTTCCCGCTCTGGTTGGGGGTCCCGAGCATGGGGGTGGGAGCGAGCTGTCTGGGGGTAAACGCTGCGTTCATGGGAAGCTGAGGGGGAGAAGGTTTGCCTTCCACTCCCCAGGTTTAGTCAGGGCTCCTCCCAGGTGAGATCGTCAGGCCAGGCTGGGAGGAGCTGATGGTGTCATTCTGCAGGCCACTCACACTGGAGTCGGGACAGGGCATGGGCAGGGGAGGGACTTTTGTGCCAATTGTACAGATGTGGGCAGCAGAGTTCAGGCAGGTTGGCAGGGTAGTCTAGAGACAGGCAGTGAGGTCCATGTGTGGTGATGACTAGAGGTATATATAGATAGATAGACAGACAGACAGATAGACAGACAGACTGGTGATTGAACTCAGGGCCTTTGCTCTGAGCTTTCCTCCCCTCCCTGCCCTTTGTTATTTTCTATTTGGAGACGGGGTTCTGGTCAACTCCCCCAGGCTAGGCTCAGATTTGCAGTCCTCCCACCTTAGCCTCCCAGAGCACTGGGAATACGGGTGTGTGCCATGCCCTGGACGGCCCCAGAAAGGAGTCTACCCTGGCCATGTTGCTTACCTAGGCCCGTTCCCAGAGACCCCTCTCTCCATGTTTCTGTCTCGAAATCAGAGGGACATTTGCATTGCTCACGGGCGTGCTTCTCTCCAGCGCTGAGGGTGAGCCTGTGGTTTTAACTCAGCATAGCTGAGGGACCCAGTCACCGTGAAGTCATGCTGCATACGCACAAGGCTGGAAAAAACCTCAGCTCCCGCTCCTGTCAGAAGGACCGCTTGATTTTGTTTTCCTTTTTAAAAAGCTCACAGACCTAATTTAGAGGCCGGAAAGAATGGCAGGATCTTGGGGTGTAGACAGAGGGGATGCGGGTCTGTTTTTGTTCTGGAGCTGGTTTGGAGGCTAGCGGGCAGAGGTGCAGCAGCTGGGCTTACTCTTGGACAGGAGATGTCCCCCTCCTGAAGGCGATGGTTTTTTCAGTTAGTGACCAGATGCCAGGTGCTGAATACCTGCACCTTTTGCTGTGTAACTGCACCCCTCAGCGCCACGCTGACCCTGGTCTGTTGTCCACCCTTGGCAGCTCATCGACGTGTTCTTCTTCCTGTTCCTCTTTGCTGTGTGGATGGTGGCCTTTGGGGTGGCCAGGCAGGGGATCCTGAGACAGAACGAGCAGCGATGGAGGTGGATCTTCCGCTCGGTCATCTACGAGCCCTACCTGGCCATGTTTGGCCAGGTGCCCAGTGACGTGGACGGTGAGCCTGATGTGGGTGGGGACAGTGGCCCTGGGAAGAGGCAGCTGTCCTCGTTTGACCTCTGGCTGCCCTTTAGACCATGGCTTCAGCGCACAGCCAACACTGAGTCCAGCACCAGGCACTGATTGGAAAATAATCCCTCAAAACTTTCTTTCATTCCTAAGTAAGATCTTAGGCTACGTGCATGATTTCACATTTTAAACCTTTTTAAAAATCTCTATCTCATGCTTCTGACAGCAACAGAAGCAGTACAGCGACAGCCTCAGTAGCTTAGAGAAGAGGGCGGAGAGCAGAACTCTCCTACGCAAGTCAGCTCAGAAAGAGCAATTGGGAAGATTCACATCAGAGCCCGGAACTTAAACTCCCAGCACTGACTTTCTGGTAGCTCGAGTCTTGTGGCAGCCAGAGGTGGCACAGGTGGCCCGAACCGGGTTCCCAGGAGGAAAGTGTTGGGCACCCCCACGCTCATGCATGCTTTGAAGGAAAGCACCCCATGGTACCGGCAGTGCCCTATCTTGTCATATGCAGCCTCGCCGCCCTAGATGGCCCTGGCAGTGTCACTGAGCCAGCACCTGCGTCAATTGGTGGCATTTCTCAGTTTTCGGGCTTTTTCTCTCACACGGTCTCTGTCCTTCATGGTGCAGTCTTTGCCTGGATCTCAGAAGTGCTTCTTCCTGCCTGCAGCACCGGAAAGGCCTCTCGCTGTTACTGTTACTGTTCCCAGTGCGCTCGTCCTTGCTGCTGGGCATGAGCGGATGCCTTTGGTTCTCAGGCAGCCCCCTTGCTGGTGGCTTTTGGCCCATGTGGGAGCAGCAAGTGGAGTCTAATGAGCCCAGTGACAGGCAGGCGGGGCTGGGAGCCTGGTTAGCTGCTGCCTGCTCCTTGGGAAGTGACACTGCCTCGCTGTCTCCCTGTTCTGCTATGTGTTAGCCTCCCTGCAGGGCACCATCAGATGGGGTGGGGTTTGTGAAATGCTGAGGCACATCTTGGCACACCCAGGTGCAAGGTCTCCACAGGTCTCCCTCCCCGAGCCCCTGCTCTATGCACATCAGAGCCCGATACCAGCCTTGGCACTCTCTCCAATTCCATCCACCGGGTCCGAGTCCTCACCTCATTTTGTTGATTCCCACTACCACTGCTTTTGAAATCTGACTGCTTCCTCCCGGGCCGAGCCATTCCCTCACCTGTCTGCCCCATCTCACTCAGCACCTCCTCACCTCCTGCTCTGGTGCCTTTGGACCTGTGCTGCAGACAGAGTGCAGCCAAGTGGCTTCCAGTGGCTCTTAGTGTAAACATGTGAGCCTCACATATCTGGTCCCCAAACATCTTATGTTTTCACCCCACCTCCATTGCCACAGGGCCTTGGCATGTGCCGCTGCTTCCACTGGGTCAGGTAGGTACCTGCTCATTCTCTGCCCTCAGCTTGGAGCCTCTCCCTTTTTGTTTCTGGATGATCTGTGTCTGTGCAGAAGGTCACCCACAGACCTAAGTGGGCTAGAAGCTCCGGAAGGCATAGGACAGACCTATGTTACCCCTCCTTGGGTCTTGAACTTAGCTTAGTCCTTGCATCCCAGCAGCTGCTTAGTAAAAGGCAAAGGACCAGGTAACTCCAAGAAGCCCAGCGCTTTCGGACAGCATCAGAGATGCCTTGGTCTCACGTGCCCTGGGGTGCCTCCCTGCTCTGGCAGGGCCTCACTCAGCCTCTGGGCTCTGCACCCTCAGGTACCACCTATGACTTTGCACGCTGCACCTTCACGGGCAACGAGTCAAAGCCCCTGTGCGTGGAGCTGGACGAACACAACCTGCCGCGCTTCCCCGAGTGGGTGACCATCCCGCTGGTGTGCATCTACATGCTGTCCACCAACATCCTCCTGGTCAACCTGCTGGTGGCCATGTTTGGGTACGTATGTAGCCATGGGCTGGGGGTGAGGGGTCGGGGGCTCACCAAGGTCCAGCTGAGACAGAATGGAGCAGAGATCCTGGGGAGTCAGTGGTCTACATGTGCGGCGCTGCAAGGGTCTCCCGTGGAGTCCCCAGAAGGTACCTCCATCACCCCTCAGCAAGCCCATACTGTGTCCTACCACCTGCCTGGCAGTGTCTCCAGGGTGACTGACATCACTCTGTGCCTCATCTCTACGGTCCCCTGTGTTTCACGGCCTAGAGTCTAGTGCTTAAAGAGTTTTACTCAGTTGCCACTTTAAATATTTCAGTGTAAATAAAGACACAAAGAGCAGAACTGAGAGTAACTCTTGTGGGAGTCGTGGCTCAGGAGGACGGAGGAAAATGTCAGTGACTGTCACCATTTTACTGGCATGGCAGTCTTCCTTAGTGTACTTAGAAAATGATGTTTTGTGTTTCTACTCCCTCCTTCTGAGGAGGGTTCCAAAGCATCCTACATGGTATTTTCATGGGAGACCTTGTTTAATATTGTTCTTTAAGGGTAATACTTTAAGTACATAAATTCTGGGACAGACCTCTTACAAAAATATGTAATTTTAAGAAATTATCTAACAAAGCTTGATGTGGAAGAGGACTTGTTTGTCCATACAAGAAACTCTGAAACCATGAATGGCAAGATAAATATTTTTGGTTTCATAAAATGGTTTTTTAAGAGAAAAGAAACTGCAAATGAAGTGGTAAAAGCTGGGTGTGGCTGTCACGCCTGTAATCCCTTTTCTGTGGCTGCTTCATTGCTCAGCCGCCTGGGACACTTTAACTCAGAGGCACCAATGGCAGACTAGACTGCAGCAAGAAAGTCATCACAAGAACTCACAGCCTCTGTCCTGGGCCAGGGGCCTGGACCGCGAAGGTCCCGTGTCCCTGTAATCTATGATCTGCATTGTGACTGTGAACTCACAGGATGTGGGGCTAGGAGGGATGGGAGGCCAGCCAGGTGCTGTCCAGCTATGAGACAGAAGTCTGGATGTCACCATCGCTGGTCCTCGCCGTGCATCTGGGGTAACCTGGTCTCACCTGTCGAGGCTCTGAACCATTCTCGCTTCCCCACTGTGACCCCATTCAGGGCTTGCAGCTGACAACTGGGAACACTTGATAGATTTAGTGGTTGGGTTTTCACCAGCACAGAGTGTGATGGCTGATGGGCTATGTCACCACTGTAAAATGAGACTCCAGTCCGGCCCTTGTCCTCGCCATCCTCCTAGGCTGGCATTGGCTTAAGCCAGAGGCCTGTTCTCCGTCAGACCCAGGCTGGGAACTTGAGAGCAGCTAGAAGCAGCCCCTCTGTGGTCCTGGGGTCAAATCCCAGAGCACTATTTCTGATCATTGTGAAAGTTGTTCAATGAGCAGTGAGCCCCGGGCTGCGACCTGGGCTGGCACCACATGAAAATACTCACTTAAAAGCTTAACTGTACTCAGTGGGCACCTGAGTAATGGTGCTGCTAGTCTGCTGCTGGGCTTGGATGCAACTTTGCCCTGGTTTCAGGAGGGCATGCGTGCACGCACACACACACACACGCACACACACACACACGCACATGCACACTCAGTGATTTTCTTGGAAGCGATGGATTGCAGCCCTGAGTGACTGAGCAGAGGCTAAAATTCAACTTAGTGACTCAGGGTTGCCTTACTAGGGGCTCTGATGCATACAGATGCTGATTCCTGAAGACAAATTCACCCTACACAGTTCTAATGAGAGCTCAGCCACCATGTGATCTAGACATTCCCAAGAGGAAGTGTCTTTAAGTCGTAGGAATAATATACACGTATAGATAAGTAGAAGGAAGAAAATAATCACCCGTTACAAGGGTTTAGTGCTTGCTTCTTTGGGGAGAGGCTGTGGAAAGGGGCAAAAAAGAGTCAAAAAGCAGGAGCGGTCCATTGCAATGCAAAGGGCTGATGTTTATTGAAGTGTTTTGTGCTAGGCATGGTGCTTTCCATGTGCCAAATCATTGAATTGTTAGCGATGTTTGTGTGGCTGTGGTTGTGTTATGCTTTATACATAAGGAGTCAGGGACAGAGGACAGAAGAGACGACATGCAAACATATGAATGGAATAGAATGGCATCAACATGCACAGCTGTTAACAGAGAAGCGACTTACAGAGGAGGAAGTGTGGCCTTGGGACGGCACTCTAGTGGCAGAGCCAGGACCAGCAGCATCTGCTCAGTAGAGGTGACAGAGGTATCACCCGAGGGCTGTGTCCTTGGCACCCAGAGATCCCTGCTGTTGGTGTCCAGGATGCTGGTGGAGAAGGGAGAACAGGGCAGATGAGTGGGGGGGGGGGCAGGCTGGGGCTGGACGGGACTCTCAAGACCGTGGTCACTTCCTGAAGGGGCAGGGACTTTCCGTGGGTCTTGTGGTCACCGTCCCCATTCTGTCTCAGTGGTTACATTTATTTCCTTTCATCAGTGACTCCTCTTGAGTCTTAGTCAGCTTTTTAAAGATCCACTCAGTCTTTCTTTCCTATCCCTCTGTTTTTCTTAAGAGTAGGAAAATTTATTTATTTGTTTATTTATTTATTTTTGTTTTGTCTTTTTGAGACAGGGTCTCACTGTGCAGTCCAGGCTGGCCTTGAGCTCACTTTGTAGCCCCGGCTGGTCTCGAACTGGCAATGATCCTCCTGCCTCAGCCTTCCGAGTGCTGGGATGACAGACGTGTGCCTTCAAGTTTGGCCAAGAGTGGGAAAATGTATTGGAGAAGAAGAAGGGAACAACCTTCCTGAGAGACAGGAGCAGTCCTGAGTGGGTTGCCCTTTCGCATGCCTCTTGTAAGATCGCTTCATTTTTAAAACATTGCAAGTAGCACATCACTACCATCTTCACAGTGTGCCACTCGACTGCCTTGAAAGTTTAAAAAATGACGTGCTCCTCTTTTTTTCTTTAAGCCAGCATGTTTTGTACCTGTTTCAGGGTGTGGTATGATGTGTCAGCTGTGTATTCAGTGTGTAACGATCGAATCAGGCTCAGAGCGTTTCCCTCCCATCCCATACCCTGGGACCCGTGTTATCTCCTCGTGTTAGGAAACACACTCCTCTCTTCCAGGTCATATGAGACCTGCTGGTGTTCCAGGGTGAGAAGGAGCCAGCACGTGGCAAACACGTTAACCTGCACGCAGGGGCAGCTGGAGGAGACAAACATCTCGGTTGCCCCTAGGACCAGTTGGACATTTCTGGTGCGTCCCGGCGGTGACCCTCGGACAGCCTAGAAATCCGTGGAAGGCCTTAACGAGGCCCACTGATAGCAACGTAGCCGGCCGAGGGTCTGGTCTGCGTTTATCCTGTAGTTCTCCACTGTTGCAGCATCTACTTTTCCTTCGCGAAATTTCTTGCTGACGTTGCATTCTGGTTTGCTCAGTCTTTCTATTTTGGTTTGTACTGCCACATGGCCTTCATTACTGAAATTTTTTATCCCTTTAACATCTGTTGTACAAGCTCCCTCATTATCTTTATTCAAAACTTTCTTGGCTTTTCATGTATGTGTAATTGTGGAGAAGCATGAAAACTCACTTGTGAGTCTTCTTTCTCCTTCCAGAAAAAAAAATCTTGTGACTTTTATTATCACGATGTTAACTTTATGCAGTTATTGAGAAGTTGGTTTCTTGCTATCTAGAAAAAATGGTCTGTGTTCCATTTATTCCAATATATATGGTTCTCAGTAAAATTTTATGTTTGGTTTCTTATGTGTCTGGGAGATATTCCAGTAATTTATTTCCAACCCTATATGATTGTGAATGAGACATTTTCTGTTATGTTTTAATGAGTATTTTTTGATACGTATGAAGGCTATTAGAGTTTTGCTTACTTATTTTGGAACAAAATTCCTTCCTGAATTGTTTCTTCTTTTTATCCCATCATGGAAGGTTCCTCCTACTCCTTGTTTATTAAGCTCTTTCTTCTTTGCTCTCTCTGTCTTTTCTAATCATAAAGGGATGCTCAGTGTATCCAGAAGACTTGCTAGCAACTATTGGAATCATATTTTCCTTTTGGTCTAAGATGATGATGTATTATACAAATGACGAATGATATAAATGCTTTTAATGTTTAGTCATCTTTCTATCCCATGTATTTCTGGATTTTATTTATGCCAAAGCTGTCGAAATTGTAAATGTCTGTTATCTGTTAGTGACATTTCCAGTCTCAGTGGACTGCTTTTGCTTCTTTCTTTCTTTCTTTCTTTCTTTCTTTCTTTCTTTCTTTCTGTCTGTCTGTCTGTCTCTCTCCCTTCCACTTTCTCCCCCATTTCCTCCCCCCCTTCCTCTCCCTTTTCTCTCCTCTCCCCTCCTTCCATCTTCTCCTCTCCTCTCTTCCTTCCCTTCTCTTCTGTTCCCCTTTCTCTCTCTCTCTCTTTCTCTTTCTTCTTTCTTTCTTTGGGGATTGAACCTGGGGCTTTTGCACTGACAACATTCCCAGTTTTTCTTTAATTTTCTTTGGGAGGCAGCATAGTCCAGGGAGGACTTGAACGGGGGACTCTCCTGTCTTACTCCCCAGGGCTGGGATTACAGGCCTGGGCCTCCATGTCTGCTCCATCTCAGTGGCTTTCTGGGATTTGGTGCTTCTGTGGAGTCTCTGCTTCCTCCTCCTGCTCCGGCAGTCCCAGGAGTATCTCCAGCTGCCACTGTGCCTCTCTGGCTGGCAGAGGAGCTGCCAGGAACAGGACTCTAGGGCATAGGATGCCACTGGGGATATAGCACCGCAGGAAAAATTTCAGATTTCTTTGCAAGGGGAAGATACAGATGGCCTGTGGTTGGTGGTGGGACTTTACAGTCAGAGATGCGCTACTGTGAATCTGCCTCAAAATGCTCCCCTCACTCTGAGCACACTCCACTCATCGCTCTAGCCATTGTCTGTAGCATGAGCGCCTCTTCCGTGGGTGTCTTTAGCTGTGCTGTTGTGGCTGCCTTGATGTTCTGAATCGATTTAGAATATCGACTTTCACATTCATTCTACTTTGAGAAAGAGCCGGAAGTCACATGGTGCCAGCTCTGGTGAATAAGATGGATGAAGACATGTGCAGTGTTTTTATTTAGCAGAAATTGCTGAAAACTGTAAAATTTTCGACAGTGGCAGGAAGGATGGGATAAGCATTTTGTAGAAAGAGTGGGCACTGGAGGGAGGGTAAAGGCAGTGAATCTTTTACTGCAGTAATTTATAAAAATCTAAGTGTTCATGTTATCGGATCATATCTTGGGTGCAGGCAGTTCTAGCTGTTGGCATCCAGTGCTCAGTGGCTTGTCCATGCCCTGTGGGATGTGGATCCTGGTTTTGAAAAGAATGCTGATCCGGGCATCCACCTTTGGCCCTGAAGTGCAGAAGAAGCTGCCCTTCCAATAGGACATCCTCGGAGGCTCCTGGATTGTCCCAAGTGCAAATGAAACCCCGGCATTTGAGGTAGAGTACTTGAAAATGGAGAAGGATACAGTTGCAAACCCATATTTTCCGAGGCCTGGGCTCAGGACCTCTTCGAGTGCTGGCTGGATGGCTTTGGTTAGATGAGTTGAAAGAGGCCATGCACAGTGACCTTGCACTTGGACCTCTGTTTCTCTGTGCCACGGTTTTACAAAAACAATAAGAGGCTGGATTTGGGCCCAAAGCACACCTAGAAGCTGCAAGATGCACCAGTTAAGCCAAGCACGTTCCATTCCTGCGTGGGCCCCTTCCAGCCACTCTGAGCTCCCGAGGAGAGGGGAGGTCATCTGCCACGGAGGGATTTTCCCCTGCTGTAAGCATCATGAGGACTAAGAATTTCCTCTCGATGAAACCTCTGGAAACAGCATTGGATGCAGTCAAGTGGATGCGGTTTCTCTGGTGTAGGGGTGCTTGGCCGGCCGGGGACCACAGTGCATTTCAGGCTGAAGATGCTTAGAATCTGAACATACTTTGGGAGCCGATGATTAGCATGGGGATCACTCCTCTGCAGTAAAGTAGTCAGGTGTGATTTCTGGCAAGGTCTTGGCAGAGAGTCATGAATTTTGGGTGTACAGGCTGATCCACCTCTGTAGCCACCAGAGCCAGCTGGGGACTGGACCAGGAGGGCAGTGATGCTTGATATTCGTCCCCCAGCAGCCTGACCTGCGTTTGGAAGAAACACCAGGCTAACTCTTGGGTTCACTTTGCTGGCTTACAGTGTAGCTCTGCTCTGTGTGCCTCTCAACTGGAAAGGTCAACCTCAAAAGGCTGATACGCGGGTCAGTCACACACAGCACGTGTTTAGGAGGCGTGAATTCCTTCCCTTCAGAGGCCTCACCCTATTTAAGAGCAGTCGCTATAAAGTATAAAATACTCTGTAGTTTCCAAAAATGCTAACAAGGCAATCAAGCCCTTTTAACTTGAATGGCGCCTTTGAAAGATGTCACTCTGTGGAGGTGATAAAGAAATTGGACTGCATTGTTGGGCTCAAAGTTAGCCTAATGCTTCTCTCTTTGGGGGACTCAGAGAATTTAGTTACCCTCACTGCCCTTCAATTTTCAATCTGTTAGTCATAGATGATAGGACTTATAGCTGGGGATACAGCTCAGTGCCTGCCTGGCAAGTGTAAGATCCTGAGTTCAATTCCTAGTACAAAAGTAGGCCTTATGAAGTTATTTGGTGAGTAAATCAATTAGTATAAGTAGACTGTTTAGAATAGTATCTGATACATAATGTTATCTATTTTGTGGTTTTGTTTTGATTTGTAACTGGAAAATCATTGGTAGAATTGGTTTGGGGATAGAACATTTAAAAAAAAGATATTCCTCTAGTGCCATAAGCAATTCATAATCCTTGGAAAATACAGTGACAGGAAACTGAAGAGCCCCCAAGATGCGATGCTAGAGACCACCACCATCGCGGTAGGAGCACTGACTTACACAGTGAGCAATGTTGTAAGTACAGATTTGGGCCTGATTATTTTCACTTAACATGGAAGCATCTTCCCACAGTGTAAAATTATTCCTAAAGGCATTTCTTACTAGTGTGTGTGTGTGTGTCTGTAGTACAGAAGAGTGGTGTTTGTTTTTGGGGAACTGGTACATGCATAGAACTTACCTTACCTCCCTTACTTTTTCCTCCCTCTAATCTTTCCTCACCTCCAAAACTCTGTCTTCTGGCTTCCTATTATTTGTTTGTTTGCTTGTTTATATTGTAGGTTTCTTACGTAAAAGAAACCATGCAATATTTAACTTTCTGTGTCTGACTTAACGTTGTCTAGCATAATAGGATCAAGTTCTCTCCATTTTTCTGCACATGACATGATTTCATTCTTCTTTATGACTGAATAGTATTCCATTGTGTGCATATAACCCATTTTCTTTCTGTATTCAATTGCTGATGGGCATTGAAGCTATTTCCAGAGCACAACTATTATGAACTGTGCTGTATCTCTATAGAACAATGTCTTCAGTAGTTTCAGAAACATACCCAAGAGAGAGATAGATGGATCAAGTGGAGTTTCTATTCTTCAGTTTTTGAAGAATCTCTGTACTGGTCTCTATACTGGTTGTACCTGTTTGCATTCTCATGCACAGTATAGCAAATGCAAAATCTTTTCTCCAACATCCTCTCCAGCAATCATTGCTTCAAGCATAATTAATTTAATGGCTGAGGGTAAGATCACATTGATCAAGCATAGCTTGTGATGCCTTTTCTTGGTGTGGAACCTGTAGGTGGACCTCTTCTTTTGGGGAGGGATGAAAGATGTCCCCCAACTACCCGCCTCAGAGCTGTGGCCATGTATATATATCTGCTTAACAGTTGTTTTCAATGTCTCTCTGTTCTTAGGCTAAATTCCCAAAAATGAAGCCACTGGGTCAAAAGGGTGAACATTTTTAAGGCTATGGATAAATAATAACAAACTATTTTTCCTAACTGTTCACAATTAAACGCGTAGGAGGGAGCAAATTATTCCTAAAAGAGTGGATAGGTCTGAGCCTCTTTGTAACTCACACAATAATAAACAAACGAAGAAGGAGAATCCTTGAAAGATTTCAAAATAAAAGTAATTTCAGAGTTCATCAATCTTCTTAATGTATGATTAGAAACATGACAAAACAAAACAAGAGCCCGGCACTTTGGGTGTCTTGCATGATTTGCAGATGGTCTGGTGCCCTGTTGCACTAGCTCTGCAGTGGACATGGGCCATCCCGTCGGTTCTGGCTTTGAGCTGCCACTGGGACAGTTTGGCTTCAACGCGACTGTGTTTGGCAGTGAACGGGTTACATGCAGCTCTCTAAGACGTGGCTTCTCCTTTCTCCTGCCAGCTACACGGTGGGCACTGTCCAGGAGAACAATGACCAGGTCTGGAAGTTCCAGAGGTACTTCCTGGTGCAGGAGTACTGCAGCCGCCTCAACATCCCCTTCCCCTTTGTGGTCTTCGCCTACTTCTACATGGTGGTGAAGAAGTTCTTCAAGTGCTGCTGCAAGGAGAAGAAGACAGAATCCTCTGCCTGCTGTGAGTGGTCTCCCACTTCCACCGACACTGGGCTCAGAGAAGCAGATGGCTTCTGGGAAGTGGGTGAGGTCCTTACGGTAACAGGCAGGAGATGGTAAAGGTCTGTCCCAGGCATGCAGCTGCACATCTCTGAAGATCGAGCACCAGGCCAGAAGGAATAGACAAAGAAATAAGGAAAGATAAAGATCTACTGGATGGTTGATTTTGGGAGAATCACTTGCACACACGTAACAGTAACACAGGTGGTCTGGTGAGCTAGCAGAATTCATGGGCTAATATCAAGTCCTGACCCTGAATATTCAAGGTGGCAGTGCAGTGTCAAGGTAGCAGTGGGGTCACATGTCCTAAACCGTATCATCACTTCTAACCTAGGCGGCCACCAAAAACTGGTGGAAAGGTTCCCATTAAGTGTCTAAGTAGGAGGATAAAAGAAAGAAAAATTACTGAGTTCTTAGAAATTCCAAAAGCAAGAGCCTTCCAATGTCATTTCCCATAGTCTTCGCTGGGAAATTTGTTTTTAATGATCTCCTCCCCCACCCCCAAGTTTACTGTAGAGCTGAATTTAAAGCCAGCGTTGGTGCAATGATGGATAGAAATGATGGATAGAAATTGGGGAAGTCAAGCAATGCGTGAGAAGGAAACCACACCCTCCAGAGTGAATTCTGTGGAAGTGGTGAGGTTGTGGGAGGGGTCCTCTTCCTCACAAATGCTTTCAGATCCCGGGAGGCAACCATGGAGCAGGTACTCGGCCTTGGCTCCAGCGCAGTGGTCTGCTGCTGGGAGCCAGACCTGAGATGCAGCAGAAGGTGCCCTGGGGAGCTTGTGGTGCAGGACGAGAGGGACCTGGGGAGGGCAGGCTGAGTTAGCACCTACCTGTCACATGTCCCCTGGGCATTGTGATTGCAGCGCTAAATGGGGCAGAAGTCACCTGTGCCCTCAGCCAGGGCCCAGAAACCAAGGGAGGGGAGTGAAAACTTAAAGTCTCATCGAGAAGTGTGGACTCACTAGTTTTAGAGGGTGTCTAAGGTGCTGGTGTAACTGCAGGGAAGCACAGACTCTGAACTAGCGTGGATCAGCAGAGGCTTTCCTGAGCCATTCACCCAAAGGATGAATTGGCATCAGCCAGATGAAGACTGGGGCTAGGAGGAGGTCAGGGTCTGAGAGTGATTCGAGGGGGTGGAGAGAGGTGAAGAAGGAGGCGAGAGGAGTCCCCGGAACTCAGGGTCCAGGGAGACTCCTGGGGGACCTGGGCGTGTCCCGCAGTCAGTGTCACACAGGCCCCCAGTCCCTGCCCAGCCCACATGCCCCACTGTGTCATCTTGAATCCCTGAGGAAAGAGAATATGTAGACAAGAGACCCAGCAGTGGAATGAACAGTGGTGAGAGTCATGAATCATGCCTCCCGGGGCCTCTGGGATGACTGGATTCGCTCTCTGGAAATCAGTGGGGCAAAGAAGCCCCCAGGGCCTGTTTGGAAGGAGCCTTAGATTGCTTGGGAAAAGTGTGCCCCTCAAATCCTGGTGCTTTCTCTTATGACTTGGAGGAGAGGCGGGAGGGTTTTGTGACATTTCCTCCCACCAGAGCACTATGCCTACGCCTACACCTACGAAAGGTCCTTGATAAATGGAAAGTGAATGGGGGAGGAGGACAACTGGGGACATGAAGAATCTTCTGTTTTCCACACTCAGTTTGCCAGGGTAAGCTGGGCTCGCATCTTTTCTGGCTATTCTCAGGGGCTGTGTTTTCCAGGGGCTGCTGGACATGGTGGTGTTTCCTGGTCCTTTTCCTCACAATATCTGAGAGGGTGACTGATCTGCTCATGTTCCATGTGGGCTGATCATTCCTAGCCCATTCCTAGTACCGCAAGTGTTTTTCTGGTTGAGAGAGTGAAAATGCAACTCTTACCAACTTGGAAATGGTAATTGGTGGCAAAGAGAAAACATCAGCTTGCCAAGAATCACTTTGTGTGTGTGTGTGTGTGTGTGTGTGTGTGTGTGTGTGTGTGTGTGTGTGTGATGTTCTTTATTTATGAATGGAGGAGAGATGCCAGGGGCAGACCTTAAATATTGGTCTCGACCTACTTCTGTGGCCTCCCCAGAACGCTAACCTCTACCAGCTGGCTTCCACAGCACAGCTGTGCCAACCACTCCCCACCCCTCTCATAGTTTAAACAGTCACCATCCATCGTCAGCTCTCTTGACACCATTATTTCAAGATCTGACATGTCGCTTTGGGGGTGTCAGTAACTCTCACGCGTATGTAACCACCTCTCTTGAAGAGTGTTTGGATGGTTTGGACAAGCTTCTCTCTTACTCTCTATCCTTGTGCCTTGGGAGACAAAATGTGCCCTTTCTAACTAAAGGAATTTTAAAGTCTTTATATCAGAGATGAAGACCAGAAGTTCAGAGTTAGAATTTCGGTATCAGAGATCATATGTAAATATTGGAGGCGTTTGATACCGTGTCCCAGGATTGTCTTGAAGTCATGTTAGAGATGAGTATCTGTAGGACCTGAGAGGGGACCAGAGGGACCAGTACCTGGTTAGGGAAGGCTTTCAAGTTTGTTATAAATGGGCCCAGAAGGGAGAAAAACCAGTGGACGAAAGTTTCAGTGAGGAAGACTTTTGACTCCATATATAGAAAAAAGAATGTTTAAAAATGAGTGCCATCTGGAGATGAATGAAGTGACCTCTAAGGTGGCGAGCTGCCCATTGGGGTTCTAGCTGGGCACTGGTGACAGAGGGGCTGTGTGGCATTGTCTTTCATTCAGCCTGGGATCAGTGGAATCAGGAAACTCAGTGTGTAAGGAAGACAAATTGTTCAAATCCCAAATTTGGGGTGAGGTTCCGCTGGTGAAACGCATGCTTTGCTTCCCAAGCTTGCTGGATGATCAAGCGTGATGTGGACATGAAATGGACACAAGTCCCTGCAGCGTGTCCAGCAAACAGAAAGGTGCTCCAGCTCAAAGAGGCAGGCGGGTGGGTCAGGAGTAACTGGTGTGAATCTGGACCTGCCCGGTGAGCCCCTAGCAGAGACAGACACGTGTGAACTGTTGGCCTTCGTCTCTGAGCAGCTCTTCTTCTCAGGCAGGAGCAAGGAAAGGGAGAGGAGGGTGTCCCCAGAAAGTCAGGGTCCCTCTCCACCTAGGATGGAACAGTGATGACCAGAGGGTCAGGGCCTGGTTTGCTAATGCCTGGTCTCACTGATCAGGCATTCTGAGTCCTGCATGCACAATCACTCCCTGCCCATCACAGAGTCTCGGTTCCAGAAATCCCTGCCTGTTCCACTGCCAGAGCCCTGATCTAGCGTTCATTCCTAAATGTGCTTGGCATTTGCTTCCATGCCGTGGGGAGGCCGAGAGTTCTGTTTACTTTGAAATTGCCTGTCTTTGAGGGCAATGCAAGCTTATTCAGATAACTTCTAGAAGGGCAGAGTCCAGATGTTCACTTTTGGTAATTGTTTGGGATATCTTCAAGTTATAAAAAGGATGCTACCCAATAACGGCATTTAAAAAAAAAACCATATATTTTTGTGTGATTCAATGAGCAATCTATATTCCTTATAAAACATTTCAAAAATACAGAAATATATAACTAAAGATCACAGGCACATGTAGCCAACAAAGAACAGATAAATATTGTCAGCATTCTGTCACTGTTTTCCTATTACTGTTGTGTGGAAGCATAATAAATGGGTTGCTCTATGAATGCATACTCATAACTTAGTTTGTTCTTTTAACCAGAGGTACACAATAAACATCTTCAATACCACAAATGTATTTATTACGTTATAATAGATGTATATGCATTCTCACTGTCCAATCTATCCCTATTCTAATTAACTGTGAAATCGTCTACCCCATGGCTGTACCATAATGAACAAATCCCTTGTTGTTAAACAAGTAGGTTGTTTTGATTCTTATTATCACATGACGTGATAAAGAATGTTATGTGCTCCTTTTGAGCCTCTCCATGATTTTTCTTGGGGTTAGTTCTAGAGGAGAAAGTTCTAGATGGAGGGTGTGCGCAGTCTGCATATTGCCTGTTCGCCTGCCCCTTCTCTCCGGAGCTGGAACAATCAGCAGACTTTTCCCATCCTGTGGGCCGCCTGTTTCTCTGCATCCTTCCTGACACAGAGCGCAGGCGTTAAATAATTAGGAAACCAAGAGCCTGCTAATGTTCCAGGAGAAGTGAAAATACCCTGTCATCATTTCACCCACATTCCCCTGACTGTGCCAGAACGTGGCCAGCTTCTCGTGGTCATTTGTCATTCTTCGTCTCCTCTCACCATCTGGGCTTGGGAACTTCAGTCTTTTCAGTGTTGATTTTTCATACTCCTCTTGGTCTTCTACATTTGTTTTAGTTGGATGAAAAGACATTGGGAACGCATTGCTAGGACCATTATGATTGTTTAAAAATGTGGTTAAGGACTATTTTGTAAGCTGAATTATCACCATTTAGAGATAAATACATATAGTTGGGTGTGGCAGCATGTGCTTATAATCCCAGCTACTTGGGAGGCTGAGGCAGGAAGATTGCAAGTTTGAATTTGGCCTGGGAAATTTAGTAAGACCTTGTCTCCAAAAAACTGTGGGGTGCAGGTGGGGATGTAAGTCAGTCATACAGTGCCCCTGGCTTCCATCTCATGTACCCCTCCCTGAAATAAACTTGCTTAGATGGGGTTTGTGTAAGTCTAAGCACTTCCATATTGATTCTTTGACCCTCCATTAATTCTTTTTAAATGCAGGAAGATAGACTAAATCCTAAACTCTAATATGAGAATGAATAAATTTAAATGGTAAGTTACAATGAAAAGCTACCTTGGTCAGTTCCAAGTGAACCACCTGCACAAATGTATCGTATACTGCTTTGTTGTACTCACGGATTCCTGAGGGGGTTTGCTGTGCACCATGCTCATACCTGAAGTGTGGGGACAGTGACAATCAGGTCTTGTTCACCTGCTCTTAGCATTGTAAGCAACTGAATGAAGACTGGAGCATGTCACCAGCCAGCTTAGAAGAAAGAGAAAGGCTAAAAGGTGACAGTTTCCTCCCAGATCCACACCCAGACCGTGTGGTTGACAAGGACAGAAACAACCTGCTCGGCTTCTTTTCCTCCCTTCCAAAGCTCTTGCCACATTTTTAGGCTGCCCATTGGGAAACCACTGGCAATTACCCAGCTGAATGGTTCAACATTTTTATGCCCTCAGAATAGGAAAGGAACATGTGCGCATCACATGTGAGAACCACATTCACTAGTGGGGTGATGTTTCTAAATCACGGAGCACACAGGCAACAGTGGAGTTGATGTCTGTTTGGAATAAAGATTGTGTGCTTATTCCATACGAGGACCTCTGATTCTTCACTGCTACCTGGAGAGTCATTCCTGTCCCCTCACCCTGCATTGTCACTGATACGTAACAGTAGTCGGAGCATCCAGGACAGAATCCAGCTCTTCTAATTCCGGCGTCTCACAAAATGCCCAGCAGGTGTTGGCTGGGAAAGCAAGCAGCAAAGGAAACAACTCAACATCTTTCTTTTCTCGTTATTCAAGGTTTCAAAAATGAGGACAACGAGACCTTGGCATGGGAGGGCGTCATGAAGGAGAATTACCTCGTCAAGATCAACACGAAGGCCAGCGACAACTCAGAAGAGTACGTCAGGTGCTCCTTCCTGCTTTGCAAAGCCCTTTGGGAGCCAGAAGCCAGCAGAGTGTAGACAGTTTATTTGTCCACTGTGGAGGCAGCCACAGTGCCGGTAGACATCACCCAGGCAATTGCAGATGACACACATGTAGAGTTTGCCAGACTTCCAAAGGACAGGGTCGTGGGGGGAAGGAGGTAGTTAGAGCCTGCCATGGAATCGCCACAGAATCAGGTCACAAGAGCCACCGCGGCTGAGCTGGGTTTCAGGAAACACCACAGGTCACGGGCAGATAGCTTTATCCTGCAGGGGCAACCATCCGTTCATCTCTTTGAGGTCAAAGTACAGAGATGGGAAGATGGAAACACATTTATTAGTCTGTCATAAGCTCTCCCTGCAGTCTTGAACATCATTTTCAAATTGCATGGGGCTGTTACAGTAAATGCCCACATAATTCATGAACGTAGCTATTGAGCGTCTTATAGACAGGGCCAAAGTTTAGCTAAGTCTCCCAGTGGTCCCTAAGTAATGGGTTATAAAGTCTATGAAAGCTCATCCACATATAAGTGCAAGGAAGCCCTATGGTAGGTTTCACACATTGCCAAAAGCGCTGTTGGATGCTTGTCTCTGGGAACGCGGATGCCCTGTGTACTTGGGGAGGGAGAAGAGGACAAGAGACAAGAGGTCTTTCCCTGCCCATCAAAGTCAGCATTTATTCGATGTCCTCCTCCCTGTGACAAGAAGGACATTCTGCTTTGTTTACTACCCAAAAACCCCAAAAGGTGAATGCATCTGACCCTTGATTGAGATGAAAATGTAAATGACCTAAGTTCTGCCCCTTAGAAGATTGAAATGAGGCTTCTCTCAGCCCCTCTCTCTCCCTCTCTCTCTCCCTCTCTCTCTCCCTCTCTCTCCCTCTCTCTCCCTCTCTCTCCCCCTCTCTCTCTCCCTCTCTCCCTCTCTCTCTGCAGAATGAGGCATCGGTTTAGACAACTGGATACAAAGGTATGGCTCTATTTATAGTCTGGGAACTAAAAATAATCTCCAATACCTTTGAGCTTTCAGTTAGAAGTCAATAGTGATAGTCAGAAAGTAAAAAGAAGTTAATTGTTTAAAAAAAAAATAGAAGGGACTCTCTTCCAGTTTTCTCCTTTTACCAGCTATTAGCTGGGAGCTGGAACCCAAAGGCTTCCCACGCCTCCAGCCACTTGGAAGTGCCACACCCATGATCTTTAAATCATCTCTGCCTCTGTGAAAGCAGGGCTCCCTCCTTCTTCTCTCTGCATGGAGGCAGGTGAATACAAGCAATCACCAGATCACTGTGTGTGACTTTGAGAACCGCTAGGTGAACCTTTGATGCCAGTCTGATTTAGTTCCTACTTAATTTTGAGGGTTAGCTGGGAGTATAGCTCAGCAGCAAAGCACCTGCCTGGCAAGAGTAAGGTCCTGAGTTCAATCCCCAGTAAAATAATAATAATTTTGAGATTCTTTCACATGCACAAATACAGTTGTGGGTGCTGGGCATATGTAGCCAGAAACGATGACTGGGTTCAGCAGAAATTATAATTGATTCATAAGTACCAGATGCCTCTAGGCTCCTAAGAGCAGATGATATTTGCTGTTTTGTCACCATATTTGGAGAATGGCATCCTGCCTGGAGATGGTCACATTGTGGGTGTTGTGCTGTTTGACAGCTAGATGGGATGTGTATTGTAAGACATGGAGACATGAGGCTGTTCCTTATAGGAACACAAGGGCCTCTTTTTAGAGTTGGATTTTATGTTCATGAAAGGGAGGCTCTGGAGAGATTTAGACCCCGAGAGAGGCATATCTGGAGTTCTCTGTGAAGAGAGCCCTCCGAGTGGTCCGAGTAGCAGTATTGGAGGGGCTTAAGCAATCTGGTTCAAGGAGACAGGAGAGAGCGTAGGGAGGTGGCCAGGTGTTGTGCTAGTAAGGAAAATGGTCTGCTTCGGTGTGTTTTGTTGTTTTGTCTTCACTGCTGGTTTATTTGGAAGGAGCAGATGGAAAGCCAATTTAGGGATTAGGCCAAACCTCCCCAAAGCCTACCTCGGTCCTGTCCCTACTTGGGGACAGACAGAGAATAACAGAGGACATCACCAGAGTGGATGAGGGAGAGAGAGACATGGCAGGGACCGAAGCCTTCTGAGAAATTCCCTGGGCCTGGGGTGAGGAAAACTGGAGAAGTGGAGACCCCAGATGCACTAACCAGATTCCCAGGGGCTAGATCTTTAAGTACTGGGATCTGGGACGCCAGCACTGTTGGTAGGAATGACAGACCTAGGCACTGGGGTCACAAAGGTGGGCTCTGGGGAACTGAAATCATAATCAAAGTTTGTTCTCATGCTGTGCAGGCCAATGGCATCCAGAAGGCTGCAGCAGTGTCATGGGCTGGCTGTTTGCCCAGTGGGCTCCTTATCTAAGTTCCCCCAGGCGCCACCCACACCGCACGCTGTGTGTGTTTGGGCAGAATTGGGGCAGATGGCAGGGGAACCTCAGCTGCACGGCACAGAGCCCTCTGTCACCCAAGTGTCCCCTGCCTCTCTTCCCTCCTGTGTGTTCCCCTGACCCTTACCCTTTGGCATTCTCTCCGGTGTCCTCTTGCTGCTCCTCTGAGCAATTAAAAACATCCCCTCCTTTCTACTCACAGGATTTCAGTGATCATCTTCAGACCTTTCAATTCTTAAGCAAGCTTTGAGAATGTCTCTTTTTCTCTTTTAAATTAATAGCATTTAAAAAAATGTTTCATTGAGCTATTATTGACACAGACAATGTACTTGTGTATTACTTAAGGTGTATAATTTGATGTTTTGATTCACATATACATTGCAAAATGATTATCACACTCCAGCCCAGCTAATTAATGTATCTGTCACCTCTGTGTAATTGCTATTGGTGGGGAATGTGTGTGTGTGTGTGTGTGTGTGTGTGTGTGTGTGTGTGTGTGTGTAGAGTCCTAATTTAAGACATTTACTTGGGCTGGAGAGATAGGTCAATGGTAGAATCATTGCCTAATATGTGCAAGGCCCTAGGTTCAATCCTCAGCAACACAAAAAGGAAATCAGACCTATCCTTTGCAAAATTCAGCCGTGCAGTGTAGCGCTGTTCATTGCAGCTCCGGCTTGCACAGTAGCTCTCAGGGATTATTCATCTCCCATAACTGAGACTCTGAGCCCATTGGCTGACATCTTCCCGTCCATCATCCTCTGACCCCTTCTTTTTAAAAGGCTAGATAGTTTCTCATGGTGTATGTATTAGGGTATTTCTATATTTTGGCTGTTCTTGTGAATAAAGCCACATTGACTGCACACGTGCACTCAGAATTTTCCTGATTCTGATCGCAATTGTTTGGGTCTGTACATAGGTGTGCTGGTAGCAGGTTTTGAGGAACCTATATCCTGTTTTCTGTCACTGCTGTACCAAATAACATTCCCATTACACCTCTAGGGTTGGATCTGCTCATCTTTGACTGTTTGGTAGAACTCACTCATGAAGTTATCTATTCCTAGGCTAGCTATTACTAGAAGGTTTTTTTTTTTTTTTTTGGTCTTTTTGCTTTTTATCGGTACTGGGGATCGAACTCATGACTGCCTGCTTGCAAGGCAGGCGCTTATGCTGCTGAGCTAAATCCCCAGCCCCACTAGAAGGTTTTTAAATGCAGATTCTTTCTTTGTGTTTGCTGTGGGTTTGTTCAGGCTTTGTATTTCTTCTTGGTTCAGTCTTGGCAAGCTGCATTACTCTGAGACAAGTTGGGGTTCCAGTGAAGTTGGTGTTAATGCTGCACCTGCCATGGGGTGCATATTGCACCTGGTGGATGGCCTCATGCATGGCTGTCACACCTGTGCCCATGGAGTCCCCCATGTAGGAAACTCATTTATCCTGGAAGGTGACCTTGTGGGTCTGGTTTAACCATGGCTGTGGTGCTGACTTTGTGTTCCTTAAGGCTTGCAGGAAAAGTTCAGCCCAGGGAAGCCCCTGGCTCCTCAATCCAGAGTGAAAATCTAACGCACAGAGTAGTGAGTTTTTTTTAAGAATTTGTCACTTTTGATTATCATTTGGCAAAACCAACTCTTAGCTTTGCTGACTTTTCTATTGTTTTTCTGTTTCTTTATTTCATTTATTTTACTCTTAGAGTTTTATGTTCTACTTTAGACTGCTTATTAAAGCCATTTTACTATGAATAAAATCCCCTGTATGGGAAAAGAATGTTTCCATCTCATTATATCAGAAAACAAAGTTGTTCATAACTGACCTTAAGTCTGTCAGCAGGGGTCTTGGGTCTTATTTATTTTGGCAGTCGTTAGGTCACTAGCCCACCCTTTTTTTAAGTTAAAAGAAGAAATCATTACTGTATTTAAACATAGATTTTTGCCTTGGGTGAGTGGTATAGCAAGTTGGAAACCAGTCTCACAGAAATTACATTACACCTATGAACTTTTACCAAGGACACCAATATGGTGTGTACTTTAAAATGAGTTTACTTGTCTTGTATAATTAATTTGTGAAACATTCATCCATGACAAATAATTTCATCATACCTTTTGTTTAAGTTACATTTTAGGGTTTATACTATTTGTGTATGTATGTATTTGTGAAGCAAGATTGTTCATTTATTGGGGCTGGGGATTTAGCTCAGCGGCATAAGCGCCTGCCTTGCAAGCAGGCAGTCGCAAGTTCGATCCCCGGTACCGATGAAAAAGACAAAAAAAAAAAAAAAAGATTGTTCATTTACAAAATGTTGATTCACTGATATGTTGTTTTATCAATATTATAATTTTACAAGACAAAGCTTTGTTAATGTCTCATAGCTTTGTTATTATGCCTTCACACGTAACATTATCATTTTCATGTAGTACTGATGTGCCATTGCAAGCTGTCATTTCAACAAGGGAACCACTAGTGATTCATATCTAAGTTAAGTTAATTGGCTTACTAATTGGCTTACTAATTGCTAGTGATATGATTTGAGAAATTAAGCAATAATTGGAGCTTGAAATGTCATATGCCTCTGTTATTCTGTCCTAACCCAGATGCACCATGCTTATTATTTAATGTATATGTCTGTTCCATGGGAAAGCCATTGAACAATCTTTTAAAATTTGAACATTGGAAATTGTGATTTTAAAACCAATTCTGTCCTTATTTCTTTCCAAGCTTAATGATCTCAAGTGTCTCCTGAAGGAGATTGCTGCTAAAATCAAATAAAGTGACATGAACTGTCATGAAAAAAAATCTAGTTATAGCAAGGTAAGTGGTACTAATGTCTTTTTTTTCTTTGCTCTAACAATGCACACATTTTAAGCCTGCCTACCTTTTATTCCTTTCTGCTTTCTGCACATACGGCCTGCATACTGAGTTATGCCTTCAACCCTTTTTATTTTTGTCTGAAGACACAAAGTGGTCTCTAAGGCATTAAGTTACCCAGGTTGGACTTCAATTTAAGATACTCCAGCCTCAAGACTGTTCTAAAATTATGATCATTTTTCTTACTCATTTTATTTCCAAGTTTGAAAATACTGCATTGTGCCAAAAATTCAAGTAATTCAGAGACAGGGTGATGGTGTGAAAATCTCTCTGCTCACTTCCTTCCCCACTACCTGCCAGAGGGTGAGAGGAGCCTTCAGGGCCTGATAACTGCCCTTTCAACCCACATTACCATTGTGCCACGCAGGTCGTGCTGTTCTAGGACCTGGTATTTTTTTTTTCATTCTTAGCATGATGTAATCATCATGGGATTCTGGACTGATCAGGCCTAAAAAGCATGCTCAGTCTCATAATTTATTATGTTTATTGCTATGAGATGAACACATATATGATAATGACCATTTACTAATCAAAAACTGCTTCAGTGAGAAATTTGAGGGCTTTAGTAATAGCTCACTTGCATGGTGAAAATGTAATTCAGTTAACTGGCAAAGCTGAGCTCAAGGCTTTGCTGCAGGATCTGACCATTTGCTTTAATTACACTTTTCCTTTACCTGTCTGAAGCTTGAAATCAAATGTCAAAGATGCTGGTAGGGATATGAGGAGTTAGGGGGAAAAAACCCAGCAACAAACATTCTGGGAAAGTAAATTGCAAAGAGACACGAAGAGAAATTCTTTCTCCCACCCTTTCCCCATCCTTCCCTCCCTTCCTCTTTCATTAACATTTACTGAGTACAGTTGAGAACCCAGAGCTTGCTGGCTGCGGGCTGATCACTGCCTGAGCATTAAGCACTTGAATGCCAACTCTTCCTTCTGAGGGGTTGTGCTAAAGGGAAATCACTGTGCATCAGTGCCTTTCACTCTGTGGTCACTCAGCTCCCTTCCGGCAGGGTGACAGTCACAGATCCTATGTAAAAGTCCTCTGCTGTGGAGGGCTTTGTCGGCGTAAGAATGAAGCTCATCTGATACAATCTGAAAGCCAAGCACAGCTTCCTGACACACTCACCCACAGAAGCCCGGCGTATTCAGGCAGGAACTACTTCACAAGGGTGCTTAAAATGAAGACAACAGCAAACTTTATAAGTTATAAATTGGATTTTGAAATACTCATCATTATGCTTAGCTTATGAGCTGCAAGATAGAAAAAAATAACCAGAAACAGATAAAATAATATAAAATCTAATGGTGATGGAAGAGTTGTAATAATCAGAAAAGATTAAATTCAGACATGGCCTGTACCCCTGAAACCCTCTGATCGTCTTATCTCTTGTTCTTTCTCAAATATGTTGACTTCAGTCAAATTGGCAAATGGGCTGACTCCCTTCTTATCTACCTCCTTTTGTGTGATCTTTGACCTTCATTAGTACATTGAGAATAATAAATTCATGAACCAAAATGCCTGGGGAGAAGGCCCTTCCCTCCCTTCTGGGAATGTGTGGTGTATATATGTGGGTGTCTCCATGCAAGAAGACAGTAACAAAAGGGTCACCTAAGAAATCCCATGTCTCATGCCTCCTTGATCAGTGACATCTTTAGGAGAAAAGTATTTGACAAGTCCAATTTTTGCATATGTTTTGCTTCCGGATAGAAGATCTTTTTTGTGTGTTTTCTGTTGCTCCTGTCTTTAAGATGTCCACTGAGCATTCAACTTTCTGAGCAGCTGGCTGCGTGTAGCCGGGACATTCTGCCAGGGACTCCTGGTACCTCTCTCTCTGTGAAGGCATGAGGGCAATCATCTTCCCTTACAGTTGGGTCCAGGGAAGAGACTGTCGGCCTCGGGGAGGGTGACCTGGTGCATATGAAAGGAGGCAGGGAGCTGACCTGGGGACAGGTCTTGTCCAATCCTCCCATCTCCATCCCTGGGTCTTCCTTTGATCCAAGTGCTTGGGATATGTTACTTCTTTTTCTGTCCCACACAGAGCGTGGAAAGATGTGAGAATCTGAGTTGAGCATAGTCACTGAAGGTTTTCCCTTCAGACTTATAGAGGACCATTGTGTGTGGGGAAGAGTGATGTCCCTGTAGGTTTTCCTCTCTATACAATAATCCCCCAGTTCTTGAGTTTGCTGTGTTTAGATTCTGAAAGTGAAAGAATCTGAACTCATCCCTTGGGTGTCATCCTGTGACTGCGTTTTGATAATTATTCCAACTTTTTATTACCGACTACTTTTATTTATGTAGAAACCGCAGAGCAGACAAAGTGCTCAGAGTCTCTCTGGGTCATCTCCGCAGCTGAATGAACTCAGCCTTGGTCATCAGCCTCTCTCCCACAGTTCACACTGGCAGACTGGCCAATCATGCACCTCTCCAAGAAAAGCATTCTCAACGCCATTTCCATTCCAAAAGAAAATCTGTTGATCTGGGGGCGTATGCGTGTAACTGTTCCTGGTATGCGTTCAGTGTATTCTGAAACAAACCATGCACTGCCTAAGCACGCAGGGGTGAAATCTCTCCCTGACGGTGTCCTATCCTTTCTTCTACAGGTGATGTCCGCCATCTGAATCAAAAAATTTAAGCGATGCTGAAGAACAATTTTGCTATTGACTACTGAGGGGAAGTTTTCAAGTCCCCGGGTGCACTGTGGATGGTTTTTAGTTCCCCTGAGCATGCCCACCTCTGAGAACGAAGTGTGTGACTGATTTCACACTCACAAAGATTGGAAAGCAAGAGCAGTCCTGCTGCGTGCTTCCTCGGGGGCCCTTGTGACCACCTGTGTCTGGTGTCCTGTCCTGGTGCTTAAGTGGTGAAGTCTTTCTCTCATCCTTCTTCCCCCTTAATCATCTTACTTTGACATATGCATCAAACAGAAGAACATCTTTTTTTTTTTTTTTTAACAAAAAAAGAGCCGAGTCTTGCTTTTACACTTATGTTAGTTTCTCATTCCCAGTTGACTCTCTATTTTTTTGCCTTTGTATGATGTGACTGTAATACATTGATAGATGTGAAAAGACTTCCAAATCAGGCCAGATTCTAAGACATGCCAGGGTGCAGGGAACCTGAGCTTTTGAAGAAACCCTCTCCCTTCTGCTCTTGCTTATTACCTATAGAAGGAGGGGCTTGGGTAGTGACTTCCCCTGTGAAGCCCCCAGCAGGGCTATTGGAGGGATCACTCCCCTGCACCAAGGTGAAAGTCACCCAAGACAGAGCCCCAAGAGTCACCCTGATGGTTCAGGTGCTTTTCTTTCTCATTATTTTTTCCTATTAAAAAGAATGCATAGCTATGATAGACAACCAGGCATCCCAGCGATTTAGAAAGAAATCGCTCTCCCTCCCTAACATGCTCACCTCACACATCTCTGGGTATTTTGCAACTCTAGATTTTCTAGTTTTATTTCCCTTAAAATTTTTTACATAGTGTCATAGTCCTGCACACACAATTTTTTGGTAAGCCTTTTCACTAAATATTTTATCAAAGATATTTTGTTTTTATACATGGTATTCCTAAACATTCTACTAACAGTTTCACATGTTCAGCTTCTAGTAATAAATGTTCTCACTGGAAGGCTGATTCCAGTTGGCCCTTGAGGTGAACAGCTTTGTGCATGACCTTTTTTTGCATTTGGGTAAACTTCCCAAGGCTGGATTCTAAGGACTATCTATTAATCGTTGAACCATTTACAGGGCTTTTTCATAAATGTATAGAAAGTAGGAATTGTTAAATTGAGTATAAAATATAAGATACACTAAGCTACAACTATTAGAATAAAATATTGCATCTAATCTTCAGCTTAGGAAGAAGCCAATATGCTTATTTCAATATTCTGTCAATCTAGAATTGGACAGATGTCTTACTGAGCATTCCATCCCAGCCTCTGCAAGTGGTGTTATCTGAGCTCGGGAGAGAAGTGCTTAGTGTGCCTATGGCACTTTAAACTAGTTTTCCAGCTTTGAGTAGACTCGAAGTCCAGTAGATAAAATAAGGGTCTTAGAAGGAAGCTATTAAATGAATGTCCAATCAGAAAAACTACAAAAACACTCACCCAGAATTCTGTTTTCATTTTTTTCTGGGCAGATCCTTCATGACATTTGCAGGGAGTGAACACAAATAAAAGATTTCTTTTTACTTAACTCCGATAATGGCTTAAAAGGGACTCTTACTCAATAGGGCTGTCAGTTCATAGTTTCAGCTGCTGACCGATGGGACAGAATTTACATGACAAACAAATGGTCCATGAATGGAAAGCTCAAGATTTTCCATTTGTGGGAGAAATGGTCACTTCTGCCTCACCATGGCAACTAAAATACCTGCGGTTTCTGAAACCACCAGGAAGGAGATCATGTCTGCTTCACATCGGGAAAAATATATATGGCAGGAAAAAAATACTGGCCCATCTTGATGGACCATATATTGTGCTGGTCCATCAAGTTGTACAGAAAGAGAAACAATCTCAACCTGTCACTCTTGATTCCAGTGGGAGATATGAGTGAAATCAATAAATTATATTTAAAACTGTCCCTAGAAGACAATAATCAGGTCATCTGTTTCCTAATCTCCCTTTTGTGAATTTGTGTATTCCTGTTTCCACTAATGGTATCTCTGTTGGCTTAATAAACTGACATGTACCCTGAGATCAGCAGCATAAGAGATTCTCGCGTGGATCCAAGAGTTTGGACATTTCCTCAGAATTCACTTGTATAAGGCAGGGAGCTTGTAACGCCCACCTCTTCCGGGCATTTCTACAACTAGGACTTGTGACTGCCAGCGTAGCTCACGGAAATAGCGCATGCACTGACTGTTCCTCTCGTCAAAGGTGCTACATTGTTGGTGTGTATCCAGTGTGGCCTGTGTACCTGTGCGCTACCACTGAGCATTGGGAGGGTTGGTTTAAATGTGTGAGTTAATGAATTAAAAAATAGAGGAACTGTTGTATGTTGTTTTTGTCATTTGATGGAGAGTGAAGAGAAAAATGCTTTTACTGAGTCAGAGTCATTTCTAAAGAAAGTCCGTCCCCAAAGTTACAACTGAGACCTTCTGACCAGATGCAAGCAGAAGAGGTCCCTCTATTCTGGCTCTCCTCAGTAGAGACCAGTGTCAACCAGTGGCCCATTTTAGTTTAGCAACTCTCTGGTACCCAGGGGTCTCCAGCCTCCCAGTGCTGCCCCAGAATGTCATTGGTTATATCTGAGCTTACAGGGATGTCACTTGGCTCACAGACAGGTCACAGGCTCTGTGCTACACCAGCCTAGATGCCCACTGTGGGCTGTGACCTCCTTACTGTAGGCACCAGCCCTGCTAATGTGCCCTGGTCCCTCTTCTGCAGACCTTATGGATTCCAGGAGGAATCAGGGAATGATGTATAATCTTCCCCGCCTGCTGCTGCTTGGTTCACAGGGAGACCCCAGGGGTAGTTGTCATGGAAACAGCTGCTACCACAGCCTCTGTCTCCAAAGCAAGGGCTCAGGAGTCAGGCCCTGGAGAAGACACACTTCCTGGTGCTCTCTGTGATCCCCACCCAGACAAGCAGAGAGCCCTCTTGTCCTGAGGATGGAACTCCAGAAAAAATCAGTCACTGCTGGTCCGCCTATTTGTTTCTGACCTGGCAGACACCTCAGAACCATGCCTGGGGTAGGATTCAGTCGGGGCCTAGGAGCTGTGTGTACCTACTGACACAGCATCAGTTGTTTTAAAAATCAGGGTTTCCCCTACAAAAGTTTTACTCAACATGAAATCCTCCATATGTCCCCATCTGTGTGACATGTTATCATTAAACGTCTCCCGTGTGTTCATATATGAGAGGAATCTGCATCCTCTGTCTTCCACCATTTTACAGTCTTTCTGGGGAGCTGAAGAAACAGGACTGACACCCCAAGGCCAAGTGTGGGAGACAGTGGGGTCACAGAGGGGACAAGCAGGAGATACTGATTTGGGGCTGGAGGAGCCCTCAGAGTGCTCACCCCTGCTTGTGCGGCAAAGGGAGGAAGTTGGCTTCCCCACATTCTTTCCAGGAGATCACCTGGTATTTGTAGGGCAGAAATTCCCCAAGAAACAATTGGGGCAGAGAGCAAGATATAAGCCACTAAAGATGGTCATGTGAAGGTTAGGGGAGGGCAGGGCATCTGGAGCCTGCAGGCAGCTGTGCAGATTTGGTGAGAAGAGTAGGCAGCAAAATGAGGTGCAGGTGAGGGGCCATTAAGGATAAAAATCTTCAGAAAAATCTACAAACCTAGGCTGAGGGTGTAGTGCAATGGTGGAGTGCTTGCCTCACGTGCATGAGGCCCTGGGTCCATCCCTAGCACTGAGAAAACAAGAAAACAACAACAAACAAAGGTAAAGAAATACAGATGTCACATCAGCAGGTCACACGGAATATTTCCTGACCATCATCATGCGGAATGCGGGTGCGTGCCTTCCTCGGGGCCCTCCTGCCACTGCTGAGTGTCTGATGACAGGCAGAAGCATGCTGGTGCCTAGGATAAGGTGACACATTGCTTCCTTATGTGCCGACTCTGACTTCCAGAAGACAAGGCTGCCCACACTCAGCATGCCTTGATTCGCTCATCTGTAAAATGATTCCACTTCCTCAGAGGGCTGAGAGGGTTACATGGGACAACTCAAGAAAGCCCTGGCACTTTGTCACTGCTTGGTGAATGGCTGCTCCCTTTCCTGTCATCATTCTCTACTGTTCTCTGTCCAAAGTCACTTCTGCCTTTCTTCCTGGCAAACTCTTATTCTACTATCCGAGCCCAGTTTGAGAATCACCTCCTCTAGACTGTCTGCCTTGGTCAACCAACACTCACAGAGCAGCCCCAGGTGTCTCTGTCTTATGAGATCTCCCACTAAGGGCCTGTGTCGGTCACCTGGGGGTACACAGGGGCTTCTCCTGACTGAAGGCTCAGGCAGGCATCATGTACCTGCTTTGTATAAGGGAGCGTAATGGTCATCCTGGTTGGAAAGCTGTGGTCATCCATTGCCACCATAGACTCCTAGGCTTCTCCTACCCAGCTGAATGCAGGGGTCCTAGAGGGAAGAGGCACCATCTTCCTGGCTTTTTCTGTTGGTGCCTGGACTGTTGCTGGGGCTCAGACAGTGGTGTGCGATCGAGTGGCCCTGTGATGGTCACGTTCATGGCCCATCTCCCCCCTTTCCCAGCTGGAATATTGCTCCCCCCTGGGAGGTACTGCCCTGTCCCAATCTTGCACTCCAAGGCAGAGGCACCAGTCCTTCCCCAGATGAGGATGGACCTTGATTTATGAACTTGACAGCAGTCCTGGAGGCCATCTGGGAGGGACCGATGTCACAGTCCAGGACTTTGCAACAGGGGTCTCCAGAGAGACAGAAAACAGAAGGCAATAAGAGGCGATTGAAATATATGGGGAATACTGACATTGAAAATATGACAGTGACAGATGGCCACAAATCCCCCTCCAAATCCTCCCCCTCGCTTCACACTTCTTTCACCATTCATGCAATTTGCTGAAGCGGTTCTTGAAGTCCTCTTCTGTGAATGCATTTATGAGGCATTGGTCTAAAATGTGGTGAATGCTGCTGCTGCACCACGGTTAAAGGAAAGGCAGCTACTGGATCTGTCACTGGGTGACTTCTGGCTCCAGCCCAAAGTCAAAATGACCAAAAGGGTCGATGTTTTGAACTGATTCAAGAACGAACCAGCTGCGGGTCTCAACTGAGTTGCTGCATAAAATGAACCATCACAGATCTGTGCCCTCCCTGGATCGGGTGCTCTTTGGGGACAAAGACCTGGACTTTTGCATCTGTTCATGAACTCAGCCATGTAGACACTTAGCTTGTGTGCCATCCTGTGTTTAGATGGTCACATCTTACCTGTTGGCGGGTCTGGAACCATCCTCAGGGAAAGGCACATCCCAGACGACTACATCAGGAGCTCTGGCTGCACAAGGCAGGTGTGGGGGGGGGGTCCCAGGCTGGCTCTTGGAAGAAGGCTGGGGGTGTCCAGGACTCAGCTAAGGGAAGGGCAGGGCTTATCAGAAGAGGAGGAGGCAGAAGGGCACACACGTGGGCTAGTGGTGGAGAGCCCAGTTCAGCCCTATTGCCTTGGGCTCAGTTCTATCTCTAGGGTGAGCTTAGACCCACTCCTGGCCTGAGTTCATGCTCATAGCTGCCCAGTGTCCAGCTATGGGCCTCTTCTTTCCCATTCTTGGTCCTGGGAAAAACGGCTCACTGCCTGGTTATTTCCTGACATTCATCTGAATGCATCAGGGATGATTTTCCGGGGAAAATGCAAACAGGTCACCAGCCTTGGGGAGCTGTCCTACACCAATGGGCAGCCAGCTTTTGGGGTTTCCTAGCAGAGATGGGGTATCGTGTGTGCTGAAGCCGTCTTTCTGCCTGTGCCCCAAAAGCATCCTTCACACAGTAGGTGCTTCAATTTCATTTAAAAAAATAAGCAACACAGCCTCAGGGTTCCAAATCCAGAGTTTAGTAGCATTTCTTCTTTCTTATATTATGAGATGGGGGAACAGTATCTGCCATAATCTCGTGCAAATCAAAGTGACATTCCACACGCTCATTTGGCTTATTGCCTTTGATTAAGTACAAAAGACCAAATCAGGGTTTCCAAGTGCCGTCTCCCCAGTGTCGATGGGAACCGCAGTCCCTTGTCTGAAATAGCGGGGTCTTCTGTCCCTAGTAACCGCGGCTTTCCCTGCCCCAGGCTTTCTGCACCTTTCTCCTCCATCCTGACTGCTTCCTGCTTCATTTCGGCACTGGCAAATGCGCGTTATGCTCATGGGGTTTTTTGGAGGGTCTTTGTTTTTTCTTCTTCTTTTTTCTGAGACGAGGGAAGACTAAAAACAGAAACTGCCCTACAGGCAGTTGCCGAGCACATTTGCCCTCCATTTCACCTGTCGCGTCCTCGGGATGACTCTCCCACAGTGGCCAAAGTGTGAGCGCTGCAGTGCCCGCGGCTTCAGCTCCTGCAGAGGCTGTCAGCTTCTGTCAGAGGCACTGGGCCCTGTGGGGACGCTTTGTCCCAGCCGTGCGCCTCCAGGAACCGCACCTGACTCCCGGCAGCAGAGGCTGTGCGCCCCAGCACCTGCTCTGGGATCCCCCACCCGGCCAGCTCCCGGCCTGCCCGCCCAGGCGCCAGCCCCTGCTCTCTGCAGCGTCCTGGTCCTTCTATCCCCGGTCTCTTCAAAGCCCAGTAGTGCTCAGGGCTCTGGCCCACCTGTCCTTGGAGCCTCGGGAGCTATAAAACGCATTCTAAGTGAGGGCCACTTCCAGGTCAGAAAGGATTTTCCTTCCACTCCACAGAGCACTCTGCTCCCAGCTCCAGAAACCTGGCTCTCAATCCTTTCTTAAATGAGTTTTCTTCCTCTTCTGCTCCTTCTGTAATTAGGTGGCACAGTTTCTCATCCATTAAGACACGGGAGGTTTTTTTCTCAGACTCAAAATGCATTTGACCTGAACAGCAGTGCAGTTCGCTCAGAAGGATGAGCCCCATCTCTGGCACCTGCCCTGGCCTCTGTGTCACAGGAGCCCCGTGTCACAGGATTAACCCCGTGGCACTGCACGGCCTCCAGGAATGTGAAGTTCCCACAGATGACACGGATCACACAAAGCCCCCGGGTTTTACTTTCCTTGTTAGAAAAATGAGACTCTGAATTTAGTAACTGTCAGGGCCGTCCCCCTCTTCAGAATATCGGCATCTTGTCACTCCCTGAATAGAGGCAGAGAGAACAGCCTTGGGCGCCTTTGAGTTTGTTTCTGTAAATGGGCCATGGAGGAAAGGACAGACATGAGGTCATGAGTGCTGGAATCTTCTCTCCTCTGCCCTCTGCCCAGTTCCTGTGGCTGAGGAGGTGTCCCCCGGTGGGGGTGCGACCTGGTGGTGGGAAATCCAGGGGTGACTGGATCTGAAAGGGGAAGCACGGGGTCAAGGGGAGGAGGA